CCCAGTCCTGACACCCTGTGCGGGTTCTGAGAGCACAGGGAGTGCCTTGGGCACATGGTGGGGACTAATTGGGACCATCAGGACCTAGTAGTGTCAGGATTAGGAGGCCTGGTGCAATATCCCCTTGGCTTGGAGGCTTTCTGCCCTCGGGTGTCTATGCACCTGGGCCTACCCATGAGGACCACTGCTCTGACCCACAAGGATGGGTTGACTTGGGGTGCCCACACCTGTCTCCTTTATTCCGTTTCAAGGAGCCAGGAGGAAGGGCTCAGCGTCTGTGTGGGGACTAGAGTGGCAGCACATTGGGCATGCTGGAATGACAGGATGTTCTCTAGTTTTGATGTCCAATCTGGTGAGGACCAGACCGGTGTGGCTCCTGAGGAGTTGGGACTCAGGCTGTCTGGCCGAGTCTGGGTTGCTGGTCTGGTCTGGGCAGGACAGGGATGAAATAGAGAGGTGAGCCCCAAGAGATGCAGCCTAGCCTCCATGCATGCTGCTGGCCCCAGCCAGCTGTGAACTTCTGTGTGGTGGCTACAGATTTTTTGATGAACACTTAGTGAAGTACATTCACTAGGGGCAGACAGGAAGTGCTTTTGCTTTCCCTGCTGCTCTCACAGAACCAGACACTGGGCACAGACCACTATAAATATGGATGAATGATTACGGGGCAGAGTCTCCAATGGCCATCACACCAATAAGATGTGGCCCCTGGCATGGCTGGCCACATTCTGACAATGGGACACATTCATTTGGAGAGGCTACCCATTCAAGCCCAGTCCAGCACCTTGTATCCCCAGTTGTTAAGCACTCTGTTGAGAGCCTAGCCAATCACTGAATACTTCCTCAAACGTTCATGCGTGCCCAGAACTCCCTCAGGGCTTCATTTCTGGGAGGTTCTCTGGGGGAGCCTGAGCGAGGGTTGGGCTATCAGTGCCTGAATCCTAAAGGGGAGTGGCATTAGGGTGGCTTCAGGACTGGTGCCAGGTCTTGGATCTGTATATGCACTGAGGTGGTTCCATAAGACAGCAATGGAAAATTCTCTACCTCCCCATCCAATAGGGAAGCTAGCAGCCTTATGTGGCTACCACGTACTTGTAACATGGTCAGTGCAACCAAAGAAGGGAATTTGTAATTTCACTTTAATTAAATTGCCACTTGTGGCTAGTAGCTGGCACATTGGACAATGATGCTCTAGAAAGTGCTTCAAGACTGTAGCCCTTGAAAGAACTCATTTGAAACAATGGCTACTACCTTCCTGGGAAAACAAAGAGTAGCAGACTTAGGACCCCTTTGAATAAAGCACTCTTGAAGGTCAATGACAGTATGCCCCTTTCACACACCTTTGGTTTGGACCCAAGTCTCCGGAAATCTTTTTGGCTCCAAGAGAGTACACTTGCCAACCTTAAGATTCTGCCTGTACCTTGTGGCTCTGGTTCATTTCTGCCATCTACTCAGCCATGTTACCTTGGGTTTGTCCCCCTCCCAACCTTGGCACAGTCTCAGATGCCTAAATTCCCCTACATCTGAGAATCTCCTTCTCTCTGTCCTGGTGACGTGTGGCTCAGACCTTTCTCCCCAGGCTGCTTCTAGGCCTGCTGCCAGCACTGCCCACCCAACAGAAGGTGCCCAGGCAGGGGAGCACTTTCCAGCCAGGCGCCATTAGCCTGGCTTCCCCTGGCTCAGCCAGGGTTGGGAAGAGAGGCACAGTGAAGAGTTGAGAGCTGACAGGGGACAAGAAGGAGCCATCTGTGCACTGCAGGCCTCCGTTTGCCATGACCAACCTGGGGTACTGCTAGGGCTCACTCTGTACTCAGAGATGGCACTGGAGGGGTTTGGGAGACTTAGGTGCCAGAGTCCAGGTCCCAATCCATTAGCTGCTCTTTCTCAGAGGTGGCCTGAAGGAGTCACATAGACAGGCTACTGAAAAGTGAACCAGTCTCCAGTATGGGTTTCTTCCGGGGGGGGTGAGGTGGAGGCACCAGTATATCAGCTTCTGAGTGCAAGGTGTTTCCAAGAATCCCCAGTCTCACCCCAGCAGGGTTCCCCAGACAGCTCAAACATAGAATGCTACCTCCTGCCAAGTCCAGCACATACTTTTAGAGACAACAGAAGAAACTTCTGGAGATAACAGGTGGGTACATGCACAGACCAGTCCTGGTTTTGCCACTTTCTGGCTAGGTGACCTTGAGCAAGTTACCTAACGTCTCTGGGCCGCAATCTGATTGTCTGCAAAATATAAATAATAATAGCACTTGCTTTATTCAGTTATTATTATTTCAATGAAGTGAAGGAACAGGGGATGTCTGTGGAGCACATAGAACGGTATCTGGCACAAGGTGACTGCCGTGATCAATTTTGTCATCATTGACATTATTTGATGTGCTAGTAATGTAGGATGGAGATGGCAACCATCATGGAAACACAGGAACCATCAGTTTAAAATCAGAGGGGAATATGGTACACCAACTCACTCTGGGGGTTGGGGGAGCCGTGCAAATGGCTAGAGAAGTTAGGCCTAGCTGTATTAACTCTAAGAGTCCAGCTAAGCTCAGCTCTCAGCTGCCATGCTCAGAGGGGCTTTGGCATCTCTTTCTAGCCCCCTTTGGCTACCTCTCCAGGCTGGCCAGGCCAGGCTGGTCCAGACATCATACACTGATTCACAGGCTATGCTCTCTTCTCACTGGTCACCATGTCTTGTTCACTCAGTCACTCACTAGCTCTTCAGCTCTCCTGAATGATTCAACCTCCCAGTTCCAGCTAGGAATCCTGAAATGTCAGTTCAGGGCCAGCGAGGTGCACCTCACTTTCCTCTCCGTATCTGGATCAGGGAAGGGACTTACCCAAGGTCACAGAAACCATCAGGCATAGAGCTGGCACCATACCCTGGAGCTCCTGTCATTAGAGCCCAAGACGGGCATCTGCTACAGGCTGCTGGTGCTCCTGGTTGACCCTAGGGACTCATGGTGGCATTCCCTCTGCTGAACTTGGCACTCTTCCTAGCATGCTTCCAGCCTCAGGGGCTCCCTTCCCTAAGGACTAGCTCTCCTTCTGGCTCTGTGCAGAGCCCCCTCCCACGCCCGCCCTGCTCCCATCTGCCTGCCTCACCCCCTCTGTGCCAGAGCACGGCTGCCCTCCACTCAAACCACCTGGCAGGGCTGGGCTTGGACCAGGTGGAGCTGATGAAAATTGCCTGTGCCCTTGGTCCTCTCCTGCCTTGAGCTAGTGGCAGCCAATCAATGCCCCAGGACCACAAGTGCTCAGCTTCTTCCGACCGACCAGCTGGCTATCTTAGCGCAGACTTGAGGGGTCAGCTTCACCTTTGGCCCCCTCTGCCAGGTCTAGCCTGGGTCCCCATGGGGCCTGGAAGCATCTCAGACCACTCCTTCAAGTTCCCCTTTCCCAAGCCATGCTGCCTTGGTTTCCTTGTCTACAAAGGGTGATGGGGAATGGGAGGGTGAACACAGCAGCTCATGAATGTGGTCGATGGAAAGCCCCATTGGGGGTCCAGGAACCTGCTTAGAACCATACGTCCATGCTAAAGGTGCTCAGGAAGGGGCTGGCCTGGGATTTTTTTGGATAACACTATCCCTTCCCAAAGCCACAGGAGCATCCCCAGCCATCTGCTCCAGAAAACAAAGGGGCCCCCATCTATGTGCTCAATGTACTGCAAAGTCCCCTCTCTGTCTGGGGCCTCAATGATCCCACCTGGGAAATGGGGACAAAGATCAAGGCTTCGTCTCTTGGTGAGTCTGCAGATTCATTGAGGTCAAGGTCATGAATGTGCCACACAGAAACCAAGTGCCCACTCTGCCAGGCCTGTGCCAAGCATTTGAGGAGCCCATGTAGACCAAAAACCAAGCCCTTGCCTTAAATGCTCACAGACTAGGGAGCCGCAAGGGCAGGGACTGAGAGCCCAGAGATATGGGTGAGGGAGTGTGTGCAGGTGGAATCTGCCAGGCTGGTGCCAAACTCCTTGTAGAAAGTCAGGGGAGATCTGAGAGGGGATTTGATCCTGCAGCAGAGAGGGACCCACTTTAGGTCAGAAACCCAAGGCCCCATCTGTGAAAGGAACAGTGGCAAACATCCAGTGGTGAGGGGAAGATCCTGACCCCTGCCTCCCTTGTAGCAGGAGAGTGACCGAGGTGTGTTTGCATGCTCCCCCACTCTCCATGAGTCCTTGGCCAGGGCTCTTAGTCCTGAGTTCCTGCCTGACTGACTGCCTGCACAGGTGAGGCACCAGGTCCCTTGAATGAGGACCCTGCCTTCTGCCCCTCTTTTGGCCCAGTTACTAAGCCCCATAGAGGCTCACAGGAGGAAGACCAGGTCAAAGAGAGAGGAGCGGGTCCTTCCAGGCTCTGGAGATGCTGCCACTAGCTCCACATTCCAGGATAGCAGAACTAGAGCCTTCAACCCCAAGAGCACTGAGGCTCTTCATCACCGAAGCCCTCTGGCCAAGGTCACACAGGTGAGGAGGGGAAGGCAGCTGTTTGCAGAGATGGAGAAGGACTTGTTCAAGTGTGGCCCTGTCGCTTGCCAGTGGCACTGACTATGTGGGCGTGCAGGGGACAGTGTGGGAACATGTAAGGGGGAGGATGACACAGTATGGAGGCGCGGGGGAGGGGGTGCCTCGAAGCTTTGGGAAGGTGCGTGAGCACGGGCCAGACTCACCCCAGGCCTGGCTTCTCTGGCTGTGCCTGCCTGGAGCCCCAGCCCGCAGCCTCCAGCGGCCTTGTTCTCTAGACGCAGATGCGCGTGCGCGAGGGATGCGGGGCGCACAGTGCGGGTGCTGGGCGCTGCCCGCCGCCGGCTCCAGGGCCCCGGGGTGACGCGTGCCCGCGGTGCCGCAAGGACACGCAGGCCCTAATGTTGGGCGCAGGTGCCTTGGGCGGGAACCTGCGTATCCCCCACCTACCACCGCGCCACCTGCTGGGCCGCCCTTTCGCCCCCGCGCTCTCCTGCGCCCACCCCTTCTGAGCCCGTGCGCCCCGGGCACCACTTACCCCAGCATGGGCACAGCCGCCACAGCGGCCTCAGCTCTGGCTCTCGCTGTCGCTGCGGGAGGGCGCCCTAGGGGCAATGATCCGCTCCAAGGACGGAAAGGCCCGGGCACGGGGTGGCCTGGCCAGCAGCGCCGAGCAGGACCCTCCGCGTCAGGCGAGGGCTGTGGCCGAGTGCTCCCCACGCTCCGCACAGGCGGCAGCGGGCGACGCGGCGCGCTCGACTCCAGCCGCAGCCTCTGGCTCTCGCTGTCGCTGCGGGAGGGCGCCCTAGGGGCAATGATCCGCTCCAAGGACGGAAAGGCCCGGGCACGGGGTGGCCTGGCCAGCAGCGCCGAGCAGGACCCTCCGCGTCAGGCGAGGGCTGTGGCCGAGTGCTCCCCACGCTCCGCACAGGCGGCAGCGGGCGACGCGGCGCGCTCGACTCCAGCCGCAGCTCTGAGCGCAACCCCGGCACTGTGTTTTTAAACCTTCCTAGGTGGACAGCTCTGGCCCTCCATAGCCATGTGGGGGAGGGGAGCCTCCAAGTCAGTTCTCCCAGAAGCAACTGTCCTTGTCTTGAAGATAGAATCCTGCCAACCAACAATAATACACCTGTGTGAAGTGTTCCTACCTTGTGGTAATGTGTGAGACAGACCTCATCTCCAAAGGAAAAAAGAAGAAGATGAAGAAGAAGAAGAAGAAGAAGAAGAAGAAGAAGAAGAAGAAGGAGGAGGAGGAGGAGGAGGAGGAGGAGGAGAAGAAGAAGCAGGTGGAGGGGCAGTACACCGCTGAACAAGCTCAGGGGACAAGGTGCTCCCAAAGCCTTGCGCCCGGTGTGCGTCCTTCTGTCCCCAGGATGTGAGGGAATGCCAGCACTTCCTAGCCTGGCATTGCCCTCCAAGGACACTGGCAGAGTAGCGGTGGGCGTGGTTGGAAACTGGGGGATAAGAAGCTGCTGATGCAGAAAGTCCCCCCATGTGACCAGGGCAGCAGGTTGCCATACTTCTCAGGACCCCCTGCCCTTGGGGATTAGGGCTAATTTGTAGCATGGGGTCTCTGGGCTCTGGATAGGCTCCTGTGGTTGATGGTTATCTGAGGCTGCCTGGTAAACGTTGGGAGTGCAGGCATCCAAACACATTTCCCCAGAGGAAAGCTGTAGTTTACAACAGATTTTCACTCTGTGACCCCTAAAGTTATCGAATGAACACTATTTTTCAGGATATAGTAGGGGGAGACTGCACATAACTGGACACTCAGAGACAGGCACAGGGCACATCCTAGAGTAGATGCCCACCTGTACCCAACAACACACATGTGCACCAATGAGGGCAGCCACTCACAAGTGTGTGCCCTTGGACCTCCAGAGGGGAGCTGCACCTGCCACTAGTCTTTAGAGCCCAGAGCTTCCCAGCTACAGGAACTGCAGATGCTCTGACCCCAGCTCCTGCCTCACCATGGTCTGTGAGCAGGGGAGGGGGCAGAGAAGGCTGAGCCTCTGGGAAGGTCATGATCCAAATCCTGTGGTCAATTCATCTGCTGGAGCCACAGGAGAGAGAGAGAGAAGGCTGAACACCCAGGACCCCAAGGGTCCTATGCACCAGGCTGGGGCTGAGTGATGGAGACACAATGGTGACCACTGAGAAGGAGTGGCTGTTAGTGACTGTGCTCAGGTGCTTGGTGTAAAGGCTATGGGGAAACCATTGACTGGGGGTAACAATACGGTGCTGGGGCTTAGGAAATGCCTCTATTGAGGAGCTGCCACCATGACAGACATCTACTTAAAGCACAAGAAAGCACTGCTGTGGTTCCCCTGACCCCACCTCCACCCTGGAGCCAAGGGACTGTCACATCCCCATAGCCAGACCCTAGGAAGCAGCTAGTTCTGTAGAAAGCCAATGAGATCTGGGGTCCCACAGAACTAGGGCCAATGCTGGCACTTCTCAACACAGGCATGTTGTACATGCACACTCCCATAAACATTCGCACACCCACCCCACACCCATCCAACATGCACACTTATGGGTTCACACCCATCCATACTCATCAACATACACATTCACATGCTCGCCCATCCACTTATCCAACATGTACACTCACACATTCACACTCACCCCACACGCACACTCACACATTCATACCCACTCCACACTCACCAACATGCACACTCACACATTCATACATACCAACACGCCTTCACCTGTTCACCCCCCCACTCACCAACATTCACATGCTTACCCTACCCCACACTCACCAGCACACACTCACTTGTTTACCCCCACACTTACCTGTTTATCCATACCCCTCATGCTCATTCAACTCACATACATGCTCACACCCATACCCTCACACTCATTCAGCATCGCTGACTTGTTCATCCCCATCTGCATCCCTATACTCATCTAACACATAGTCACATGCTCACTCACACTCAAAGAAGGTCATTTAGACATATTTTCTCACATTCATATAAGTTGGCCCACACAGTCACCTACACATGCTTATTGCTTCACAAAGTCACATTCTCTCTCTCTCTCTCTCTCTCTCTCTCTCTCTCTCTCTCTCTCTCTCTCCACACACACATACACACAGACAGACACACACACATCTAGGTATTCACACATGGGCACTCACACAGTTAATCATACATACTTACAGTCATGCTTCACAGTCATGATCACTCTTTCCCTCACACTCATGTTCACACACACTCATTCGCACACTCACCCACACCCATGCACCCTTCCTTTCTGCTGCAACAGAGGTGGCTGTCTTGGATATTGGCTCTCCTGCAGGTGAGGGACCGCCAGCACGGTGTCAGTGGCTGCAGTGTCTTCTGGAGGTCCATGGCTATCCAGGAGCTTTGACGTGCACAGGGAATCTGCAGCTGATTCCTCAGGGCCCGGGCCCATTGCAGGGCCTTGGCACACTCCATGATTTCCCACTGTCCAGCATAGGGAAACTAAAAGTAGAGCTGGCCCCAGCTTCCCTGAAGAGCAACTCTAGGCTGTGGGTATCACAGCTGGCCACTTTGCAGTTGCTCTTAACCCCATATTCCTGATGAGTGAGTTGAGGCTGGGGGAGGGGGCACCAGATACCATCTAAAGCAAGTCAAGAAATGGGGTACCAAAGGAGGGCAGAGGAGCCGCAAGCACAGGAGTGTGTCCTGAGGGCCGTGGCCTTCCTCCCCCAACTCACCAGATGGGTCTCCTTTGAGGCCTTGCACAGTGTCGTGAGCACCCTGTGGTGTCAGTTCTGAGGGCCCCTGCTCCAGAGTGAGAGGAGGGAGGAGCACTCTGTCTGGTGGTCCCAGTGGGGCTTCCCTTAGATAAAGGTGCACCATTGCTGACAGTGAACCCCTCAGTAATTGTGTACCATCTTATCAAACTGGTTTGTAGCTCTGGTAGGAAAAAATGAGGTAGGGCACCTAGAAAGGGGATCTACGAAGAGAAAGGGGTGTTGACAGGACAGTCAAAATTACCACCCCCACATATACACCTCAGGGTCCTGAAGTGGCTGTGTGTATGGAAGAGAAGAGACTCCTTGACGCTGTGTCACTGCTTTCTCTCAGGGACCAGGGACCATACTGATTGCCCATGGGGGGCATGATTATTTAACTGAGGGCCGAAGGCTGTCCACACAGGGGGACTGGCACCAGCATGGATGACTACTTGGCTAAAGGACCTGACACATGCTGCCCTAGGCCCAGTCTTTCCCTTGACAAATGAGAAAGCAAGTTGAGGGTATTGGAGCTAAGGTGACCTGCTGATGCACTGCCCAGGGCTGGCCTAGCCATGGGTTAGCTCTACCACATAGCTTCATGATAAGTGACCAAGGCCAGATGGCCAGGGAATAAAGTATTATGGAAATCGCAGTCACTAGCAGATGTGGGCCTCAAGCAGCTAATGGCCAGGAGAAGGAATGGCCTCTTTTTTATGGTTCCAGTTGGTTGGTCTCCCTGGGGTCAGAAGGGAGGGTCCCAGTCTTAAAAGCAAGGAGGCCTGAGTGCTGGGCCAACTCTGCAGTGTCACTGGCAGACCTTGCTCACTGGCAGATTCTCTCTGTTCCTGCCACTAGTCTTTAGAGCCTCCATCTGGAAGAGGTGCGTGAGGACAGCTTTGCTAGAGAGTCCTACCTTACATCAAGCCCTGTCATCTGCATTTAGAATCTTTAGGGGACCAGCTCTAGGGAGGTCCATGGTGGGAGCAGGCCAGTTCAGTTCCTGACCCTATTCCTCCTTTCCTCTTGGTCCGACCCCACCCCTACTGTGTCTCGACCTGCCTCCTCGGGAACCTCAGGCCCTAATCCTCTCATGTTGTTCATGTTTTCTCCTGGGAAACCTCAAGAGAGGCTGCCTTAGCCTAAGAAACTTGTAGAAGCAGCCAGCTGGCCATCTTCCAGCACGGCCTCCTAATGCCCAGCCCCTTACTCTCCTGAGTCCTTAGTCCACTCTCTTACACCATCACCAGGCACCTCTTCTTCATGGGCCCTACAGCTGTCCACTCTGCTTCCCTGGCCTCTGGGCCATGCCCCGTGCTTGTTCAAATTTCCATCTGCTACTTGTGGCTGTCACAGCCTCCTCTGGGATAGCGGTTGGTCTGACCCAGATGCCCTGATCCCTCTGGTGGGCTCTGACCTATCTATCCCTCTTCTCACCTCTAGTCTTTCTTGGCTGACATCACAGCCCTTCCCCAAGGCTCCAGAGTCAGTGTCTACCTGCAGCCCTGGAGTAGGCTGAAAGGAACGCGGTGTCACTTTTCCTCTCACCCCCACCATTGGAATGGGGTGCTATTTGAAAATAGGGTCTTTACAGATGTGACTGACTGAAGGATGGTAAGCTGAGGAGACACTCCTGGGTTCTCCAGACAGGCCCTGTGTGCAGTGAAAGTGTCCTCCTGAGAGGGAAATAGAGACAAATTTCCCATACACAGAGCCTGAGACCATGGGACAACAGAGGCTTGGCGATGCAGCCACAAGCCAAGGAGCAGTAGGAGTCACCCATGAGGAGCTGCGAAAGGCAAGAAGCATCCTCCCAGACCTCCATGGTGAGTACTGTGTTGCCAACACTTGACCCCTAGAACCACAGGGGAACAACTCATGTTGTTTTGTGCCATCTGTGATCATTTGTCACAGCAGCCTTGGGATACTCAAAGAAACCCCAACTGGGTCATCAAGGAGTGCCACCCTTCAAAGTTCTCTCCACAGCACACCTGCAACTTTCCAGCCTGCTTGGCCTCAATAGACTCCATACCTGGGAGTTCTGGAATGATCTGGTCAGCTACGGTGTATGTGTATGTGTGTGTGATGCACCCACACACACGCGCACACAATGACTTTAAACACCACTCCTCCTGAGTGCAGTCAGCTCAGTATCTTGTACACTCAGTATCTAGTACCCTTTTCTCTGGCCTCCCTTTGTGCAGTGGGCACGAGTACTCTTTCAGCACCAGGTTACCCTGGATTTTCCAAGGCCCTAAGGTGTGTGTGTCCTTCCCAGAAGGCAAGAGAAACAAGGACACTAGCTCAAGCATCAAGAATAGGACCTTTACCTCTTCCCACAGCTCCTGTTTCCCTGACACAGCATGGAGTGCTCAGGAAAGCCCTGGAGCACACCCTCTCAGAGCATCCCAGCTACTCCCACTCCCAAACCGTCCACCTGCCCCTCTCAGGCCCTTCAAGGAGGAATTGTTTCCCCAGAGGCCCTGTCCCCATCTAGGCCTTGGCCCAGGATACCTGGCCAGCTGCCCCTTCTACAAGCTCTGACTTGTTTAAACCCAAGCAGCAGATTTGGCTTAGGCTCCAGCTGGGACCCACCAAATACATAAGGATCCTGACTTGAGATAAGTGCTCGGAAATATTCCCTATTCCAGTCCCATGCTCCTCAAAGCCACTCCTTGGCACCTACCCCATTCATGTAACAGCCTCTCGGAGTCAGCTGCTCTGTGACATGCATGACTAGGCATTTGTATATGTGCTCTTATGTGCCCATGAGTCCATGTATGTGTTTCTCTGTGTGCATGTGTATAAATGGCCATGCCTGTGTAAGTTTATGTTTGTTTTGTGTTTATGTGCACATGTATATGTTTACTGTGTATCATTAGTGTGTGTTTGCCTAAGTTTGCACTGTTTCTGTCTTCACACACATGCTTATATGTGTATATGAGCTTTTATGTGTGCTCATGTGTGCCTGTGTATGTGTTCATGTGTGTCTCTGTTGTGTGCTTCTCTATCTGCCTGTGTACTTATATGTGTTTGTGCCCATTCATGCATGCTTATGTGTTGTACACATGCACAAATTTGTGTGTTTATGTGTGCATCCATGTGTTTTTGTGTCTCAGTGTGTTCATGTGTGCGAATGTGTGTGTCTTCATGGGGTCTGATGGCTGCCCAGCTGACCCCTGCTTCGAATCGCCTTAGGAGCTGTACCTCACAGCCCTCGTGCCCTTCCCGCATTGTGCCCTGCTCTGCACCTCAGGCCACTTGGGTGCCATAACCCTGCACTTCACCCTTCCTTCCCTCCTCATTCAGTCTGGTCCCAAGCCCAGGGACTCCTACTCAAGCAGGCACTGGACTGGAACTTGTCCGCTACCTTTCCCAGTGCTCTGCAGTGTCACCAGCCTGGGGTTTCCTGTGACCAAAGCCAGGGCCCAGGACATAATCCTCCTTTCTAACTCAACGAAAATGAATATGAGGAGCTGCAGGTTCATAGGAGTCATCTTAATGTCACCGTGAGTTTTTTGGGACAGAATCTCATGTAGCTGAGGGTGTCCTTGAACTCCTGATCTTCCTGCTTCTACCTCCCAAGTGCTCTTACAGGACTGTGCACCACACCTGGTTTCACTGTGATCTTTAAAACTCATTATTACCTAATAGCTTGGAATACATTCAATAGTAGAGTGAGACAGAGGGATTTTAATACATGTATTAATACATATATTAAAGACTTCTTTATTTTTATATGTATGTGTGTGTATGCCTGAATGTATGTATGTATACCATGTACATGCTTGGTGCCCGTGGAGGCCAGGGACACTGGAAACCCTGGAACTGGAGTTACAGGTGGTTGTGAGCCACCATGTGGTGCTCGGAACCAAACCTGGGTCCTCTGTAACAGTAGCAAGTACTCTTCACTGAGCATCTCTCGAGCCTTGAGGTTGAGAAATTTATCTGCTCCTCATGGCCAAGACCAAGTGCTCTGAGGATGGAACCTGTGTTCAACCACCACCCACCAGCTTCATAGGCTCTTGCCTAGGGCCTTACAGGCTGTGGTCCAGACAGTGGGATGCTGTCTATGGGGTACTTCCTCTGCACTAACCACCTGCATAATGCTTGTCCCTTGAGCTTGTGGTAGCACTGCTCCACTGGGTCCCTGAGCTGAGACTTGCAGAGGATAACTATATGAACTTTCCTGAAATGAGAGGGAGCCAGAGGAAAGGAAGGGGGAATAGCTGAGGAGAGAGGCAGGAAGGGAAGACAGATGCAGCAGCGCTATGGGGGTACCTGTAGAGGCAGACCCTGCTCCCAGACGTCCTCCAGAGAAACACATACTGGGCTGCATCTTTCTGTCTCTACCAGGCCCCAGTGCTACCTGCCCCTCCTTCCCACCAGAAAGGGGACCTGACTGAAGCCCTGACTCCTGGCCCTTGGCCAGTGCCCTTGCCTTGTGTCTGCCCAGCTCAGCAGAGATTGCCAGGCTGTGGAGCACATGCCCCAGAATAGTGCTATGATGCCGCCGAGTGACATTCTATCGCTGGGCCACCACACTGAGTGACACCTCCCATCCTCAAAAGAAGCCTGGGGACACTGGGCACCCCTGGTGCCAGGCCAAGCTTAAGAGTATGGCTGTGTGTGAGGATCCACACACAGTGCCTCTGGATGCATCCCTCCTGGGCTGTCACTCATACAGGCCCTGGCTGCTCTATTTTTGCTGGCTGTCTGCAGCCGTGCAGGGAAGCCCCAGTTCCCATGACCTGAGTAGGAGGCCTTGGGCTTATCCTGGGCCCACTTTAGCCCTCTGGGGGATTGTTGCTTTCCAGGGTAACTCATGTCCCTAGTGGGCATGCTTCCTTGGCCCTGAACTGACACCTACCTCAGGATCTAGCCTGTAGCCTACTCTTAGCTCTCCTGGCCCCCAGAGGGACATGTGGGGTGCTGAGTGGGAAGGCAAGCCAGGCTGGTCCAGATGGGAGCACCAACACACTGCCTGGCACCAAGGATCCATGCTCTCTGCCCTTTCCTAGTGTTAGCACAGGTGCTGGTCACAGCCTAGACTGCAGCTGGGTTCTAGCATTACACTATGCCCCAATTACATCCAGACAGGCAGACAGGACCCTGCTTGGATATTGAAGCTCTCCTTCTGAAAGGAAGGAGCTTAGCCTGGTATCTCACAGCCAGCAGGCACTTGAAAAATGTTCCTCAGATGCACACACCTCCTCAGGTGTTCTCTGCTTCTGGTGTCTAGCTTAAGAAAAGCTGGGACTGTGGAAGGATCTGGAAGAGGAAACAGCGGTCCTGGGTCTTCTTTCTGGTCATATGGGACCCCCTTTTCCAGTTCTGGACCTGACACAGAAGAGGACCTTCTTCTGAAGGCAAAATAGCAACAAAGAGGAAACATAAGTTATGGTAGGAGCATGGAAAGGCAGAGCCTGAGAGGTAGCCTGAGACCCCTTGTCTCTGCTCTTCACTTGATGCCCAGCGCTGTTGCAGACAGGCACACAGAGTTGTATTGCACAGTGTTTCTTTAATTGAAAGACAACTGACCTCAGAAGCAGCACTACTCCAGCTGACTGTGACTGCTCACACCCCCAACACAACAGGGACTCAGAGATGAGGGAGGGGGACCTAGCCATCTTGGGGAGAGGATAGGGGCCAATGCAAACTGCTGCTGGGCACTTTGGTGACCTGCTGGAGCTCTCCAGTGGGGTAGGAAGCTTCCCACTCCCCATCTTGATAGAGGAACGTGGACACCTCCGTGGACAATGCGAACAGTATTTTGAGTCTTCCCCCTTCCAACCTCCACCAAGGGCTGGTGGCTAGCACCAGGCAGGGCAGTCAGGGAAATAGCTGCCCCTAGACTTGTTTGTGCAGGGAGTGGGCAGAGACCTGTGAAGCAGAAAGCGGGGGCAGCCTAGGGAAGATGGTCAGGGTGTGAGGAGAGGAGAGGAGAGGAGAGAGAGAGAGAGAGAGAGAGAGAGAGAGAGAGAGAGAGGAGAGAGATAGAGAGATAAAAAGAAGGCAAAGCGGGGGGGCGGAGGGGCACTGCCGCAGAGAGAGAGAGAGAGAGAGAGAGAGAGAGAGAGAGAGAGGAGAGAGAGATATTAAGGAAACATAACGGGGTAGAGGAGGGGCACTGCCGCAGTAGAACCAGGTGGTGGCTGGGATGGACAGGTAGTGAATTTGTTACAAATGGAACACCGGAGGCCAGGGGCAAGAGGCAGGGCCCAAGAAAGCTAGACACTACTGTGGATGAGGATGGGGAGGAACATGTGCCTGGGTGGGCAACAGCTGGAGCAGTGTGCTGTTTCCACCCTTGCTAACCCCTCTTGACCTGCAGACCCATAGCCTCAGACATCTGGGTTTCAGAGTGAACCAAAAGAATGTTTTAAAGGGGAGCCTCTGAGTGACCATAGGGGGATGGTAGAGCATCTCAGAAACTGAGAGAAGCAGGCGATGGGGCCAGGTCTTTTGCCCATGTACACACTTGGGAACCAGGGAGAGGCTGTGACGGGGCAGTGAGTTAGCATTGGGGAACAAAGGTAGGGGACTTTGCTTCCTTCCTTCACCTCCCCCTCTGGGACACCTGCCTGTGTTTGTCAGACACCCCTACCACGGCCACCATAGTAGCTACTACTGCCTCTACTTCTTGTAGTTTCCAAACTGGATAGCTAGGCGGTCAGTGACGCAGCGGAAAGTGGCTGGCTGCACCTCCCAGTAGGGCACAGGGTTGTTGAAGAGACTGATGCCGTTGTAGTAGGCCCTCTTGACTCCGAAGCCCATGGGGCAGAAGTCATTAACGCCCACCTTGGTGATGTTGTTGGAGTGAAGATAGACCACCTGGGGGTAGAAGGGTATGGTCAGGGTTTTCTGTCAGGACCCAGTGCCGCAGATCACCCTTCCCAGTCTGTCTCTGCCTGGGAAGGTGCTGTGAGTTTCAAGCAAGATGGAGAGCAGGCATATGAGGGGTTGGCCCTGCCTCCATCCTGGGCCCCACCAGCCACTTCAAGTTTGTCATTTCCCTTTAGTACATCTGCACCACTCTTTGAGGGCTAGTGATTAATTCTATGGTTGAGAGGACGACACTGAGGCTTGGGCATGTTGGTGGATGTTGGCCATGATTAGGGCACTGGTGTATGATTGGGCTAGTAGGATCAGGATGATGGGCTCAGTGAGGTGGTGAATGGGCAGTTGAGAGGGTGGGCTGGGGGGCTTTGTTTGGTGGAGTGAGGTTGTAGGAAGTAAACACTGATCTTGACATGATGTCTGTTTAGGAAAGATGGTGTCTTGGGTTTACAGAAGGTCCCCGGTCCTCCCTCTGGGTTCCCTGGACTCTAGGCCTGCTTCTGCCTGTGCCCTGAGTGGCACAACAAAGCAAGACCCTTCAGGGAGGATAGTCTCTTCTTCCAATCCTCAGGGATACTTGCCCTCTAGCAGCACTCCCAGCTCCATCCCCTCACCTCCCACCCCAGATCATTGAAGCCACTCTCTTGGCAAAGAGTGGATAGGATGAGAGACCCAGGAGTCTGGGCTAGGAGCTCACTGGTGGTAGAAAGGTTAGCAGCCACTAGAGGGCGCTCTCAGCCTGGCGTGGACTGTGCTGCCCCAGCTGAGGATAGAAGTGCTTCTACCATTGTGATTGGAGTGGAGCTCGGGAAGAAATTGAGCCGTGAGCAGAGCTGGGAGAGATCTAGTTTGCCCATGTGGCTGGAAGCTAAGCCAGGGAGAGAGGGCTCCTTCCCCCCAGAAACCCCACATGAGAGTTGGCACTGTCTCAGTGCAAACAGGGTGCAAACAGGGAGTGGACACTGCTCAGATAAGGTCAGGATCAGGACATGGGACCCAGAGAGGAGTACAGGTTCTGTCCTGCTCTCTACTCTGGGTCCCTGAAAAAGAGGGGCATGGAGACAGGCAGCAAAGAGGCTTGTGCCGTGCGCCCACCCAATCTTGGAAAGCCAGCTCTCACCTGCAGGAGCTTGAGGTCAGGAAGGCCGGCAGGCACCCGAGATAGCTTGTTGTTATCCAGGTGTAGTTCCCGCAGGGTAGGTAGGAAACTCAGGCTCCCATTCTCAATCATCCGGATCTGGTTATGGCCCAGGCCCAGTCTAAAGATAAGTGAATTAGAGGTCCTTAGAGGCTGGAGGGGAGGAGGACCCTAACACAGGGCATTGGGGATTTGGGTGCCACCCTATGACCTGCCCCACTGGTTCATGGAGACCTGAGGCCTCTAGAGCTGCCTCAGCCCCACCTGTACAGCTTAGAGTAGCGAAGCAGATCCTCCAACTCGATAGCCTGGATTTTGTTGTGGTCTAGATGGAGTTCATTCAGGGTTTCAGGGAGATCTGCCCGGAAGAAAGCATTTTGGGAGGTGAGTGTAGGGGCTGAGGCAGACCAAAGGTTTGCTCTGTACCCTGGGTGAGGGGGAGGGCCCTATGGAGCCCTGCTCAAGTACAATGAGCAGGCCTCACCCCCATTGGTGCTCTTGGAGGGCAGGCAGGGCCACCTTCTTACCTTTGGGGATGCCAGTGAGCTTGGCCTCTGAGATGCGCAGGTAGTTGAGCTTTAAGCCATCAAAGGCTCCTGGTTCAAAGCCACTGTTCTCCAGGGGGTTCCCACCCATCTCTAGGAGAAAAGTCCTGTCAGCCCTGAATCCAGTCAGTGACACCACACATACCACCAAGGCTCCACCAAGCTGGAGTGGGGCTGTGCTGATCACTGGCTGTTTCCACCTCCTCTAGAAAGCAGTTTATGAATTTGCTCAGCTAATGGCAAATGCCAGGATGGCTTACCCAAGGGCCCTGACTGTGGTCTTGGCCTCTGGGAGCAAGGAAGCAAGAGGAAAATGTGGAAACCTAAAGATGAACACAGAGTGTCCAGAAAGCCATCCAGCCCCTCCTGTTGGCCTTGGTGGTCCACTGCTCCTCTTCCGTCTCTACTACTCCAGTTCTTCTCTGTCCTGTACCCTTAACTCACAATTATCACCCAAATTTGGGCTTTGTCTAGAGACATTCTAGACTTCATTTACATTGTTTCTTGAGAATTTCTTGATCTGAGTGCCTTTAACATCATCCCCAGTGCCCCTCCATAATACCTCGAATGAAACACCTGAAACATTCTGTGAGGCCCACTGGGCTTCTCCATGACTGCGCAGAACAGCCCAGGACTCATGTGTCTTTGCTGGAAGAGGTCTCCTCTACCTGACTCCTTTGTGCCCAATGCCAAGGTGGGAGACTGAACTCACCGATGCAGTTCATGTTCCGAAGCCCACTGAACACACCCTTGGGCACTTTGCGGATGCGGTTGTCATGGATGCGGAGCTCCACCAAGGAGCTGGGCAGGTTAGGAGGGATCTCTACCAGGTGGTTCTTGGAGATGTAGAGTTTCTGAAGCTTCCGTAGAGGGCTAAAGGCCTTCTCATGGATCTTGGAGATCTTGTTGTTCACCAAGACCAGGGCCTGAGGAAACATAGGTGACCAAAATAAACCTCCCAGCTCCCCACCCTACCTCCTTTCTTTCCCTTCTGCCTCTGCTTGTTGAGCTTGCTACTGATGGCACTTGAGAGATGTCTGTACCTGACTTAGCCTCAGAGAGGTCAGTCTGTGCTGGTGGGTAGAGTGCAGGGCAAGGAGTCCAAGCTGAGGCTAGCTCTAAGCTTCCCTGGAAATGCCACTACTGCCTAGGACACTCTCCTAGGCAGTTTCTTCATGAGCTACAAGGGAATACATACTTTCTGTGCTCCTTAGAAGAGCCAAGAAAATGCAAAACTTTCAGTCCAAAAGGGGACTGACCTGAGGGATCTTGTCTTGCACCCACACATATGACCCATAGCCTTGGGAGTTGCTATTCCAACTAGCTCCAGGCTTATCTCAGGACCCCATTGGTCTCCAGCCCCTTTCACTACCCACATGCCATCCCCCAGCCACAAACTTCCCATCTCCTCCAAGCTCCTCAGAAAGGATGAGGCAGGAGGAGGCTTACGTAGAGGTGCTGGAGGCCTTTGAAGTCATCCTTGCGGAGCTCAGTGATGTCATTGTTCTGCAGGTCCAGCAGTGTGGTGTCAGGTGAGATCTCCTTAGGCACAGTCTTCAGACCTGGGGGCCAGCGTCATCACCAGCATAAGTCTAGATTATCCAGTCTGCTGTCACAGCTTATGGGAAAGGGTGGGCACACACACACATATGGACACACACACACACACACACACACACACACACACACACGAACTGTGAACTAAATGGATGCCAGCTCCAGAGCTTTTCACATGCTTGTAGCCAGACACTGGACACCCTCATGGACACATGCCATGATCCTCCAGCCTGCAGAGATGCTTAGCATTCCCACCCTCATTGTTCCACATCCATTTCACAGGATAGCCTGTGTTCCCTTTACTAGGCTCTCCCAGGCTGCGCCTGTGCCGTTTTGCACACTCTTACTCCAGCTGCCCAGCGACTCACCCAGGTCAGAGCACTGAACAACCCGCAGGTGGCAGTGGCAGCCAAAAGGACACATGGCACTGAAGGTGGGAGTGACAGAGTCCATGTCAGGGACACCTGAGGTGGTGTCTGCGCCTGAAGCCTCCTCATCGTTCATCATGAGCAGACCATCATCCAAAGTGAAGTCCCAGAAGCCCTTCTGCTCAAAGGGCAGTGCCTGGCTCAGGGCCAGCAGCAAGGCAAGGAGCCACAGGGGCCGCATGGTGGATATGCCTGAGAGCCAAGGGAGAGGAGGGCCTTAGGTTAGCACCAGCACTACCCTTTGAGCCTTTTCCTGCTGTCTCCTGTGTGTGTGTATTTGTGTATTGGTATGGTGTCCCCCATCCCTCACCAGGAATGGCTAGTCCAGGCCAGGAGGCAGGAGAGGGAGGAGGCATGGGTAAGAGGCACCAGGCAGGGTGGGAGTGTTGCCTGGCCAGGAGGGTGCCTCTTTCCACTCCTCTCCCCTTCCTGGCAGGACTTGGTTTCATTGGGCAATGAAATATCTTCCCAATTAGCTCAAGGCTCTGTCCCCCCCCCCCCCCGCCGCCACACCACTGAGTCAGCTAGAGCCTGCCTCACTGCCTCAGGGCAGGGGGTCAGTGAGGCCAATTGGAAGCATGGTTGGGGGAACCCAGCTATTGGCCCCTGCAGGCCACCCTGCCAATCCCTCCTGAGAGAGAGAGTTGGGGCTCAGGGCAATTTGGATACCGATTAGTTTAGTTTAACTGGGTGGTTGGTGAGTCATCCCCTTCGCTGCCTGAGCCCCTCCATAATCCCCATGGTTCTCTGAGAAGGTCCAGAGGCCAAGGCATGAGGAGGAGGACGTATGCTTCAGGGGGGGGGGGGGGGGGGGGGAGAGAGAGAGAGAGAGAGAGAGAGAGAGAGAGAGAGAGAGAGAGAGATCGATCCTCTAAGGCAGTAGCAGCAAGCAAGGGACCTAGGATTGAAGGATTGGCACTGTGTTTAACTTCCTATCATCCCCTAGGACCTCACACCACAGAATTAGGGGCTCTCATATCTGCCCTCTTGTACTTCTTTTGTGCCCACAGTCATGGCATCTTGGAGAGGTTCCCAAGGGGAGCACGCTGCTGCCAGGGTGGCAGGGCAGAGTCAGGCTTGTCTGGAGGCCCCCCAGGCTGAGGCAGTGGGGTGGGGGCGGAGACACTGAGCTGTCTGAGCCTGTCCCTGGCATCCACATCTCCTGTCTTTTCCTCCTGCATTAGATACTGCCCAAGCAGGGGCTACTCTTCAGGACCAGGCCAGAGCTCAGCCTCTGCTACCACCCCCACTTGTCCAACTTCCTGGCAAAGGCTCAAGCTGTTTTAGTCTGCTCTCTCCATCTGCTAAATAGGGAATCCATGTCGGACCTGCTTATCCCCCAGACTTGGGTGGACAGGGAGCCCAGGCTCCTGCAGACTTGAAGCAACCCCAGCCCAAGGAGGCCTCATCTGGGGTACATTTCACTGGAAGATGGGATGTTTGGGGCTCCAGCTGGGCTAGGTGAGTTCCCTGGGCCATCTCCTGGCTTGGTTAGACCTGGGCACAAACATTGCACATCTTGCAGCTGTTACTCCTAGGATAAACCTCATCCAGTGGTGTTGCTTGAGCACCCTGGAGGAAGGCATCCCTCAAGTGGTACTCATGGCCTGTCCTGGCCTCCATTTTATACTTGTGGACTGAGGGGCCTGCACACAGGTGAGAGCTGAGTGCTTCTAGGCAAGAATGGAGCAACCGTCCTGATTTCCCAAAGGTCACATAGCAAAGTGGGGGACACGGCCAAAGGCTTGGCTCACTTTCCTTCTCTCATGAAGAAGTGAGCTTGGTGATGACTCCTGAGGTCACAAGAAGTCCCTTGCTGGGGGAGTGCCCAGCTTCCCTTGCTCCTTCTAGGGAACCTCAAATGCTACAGCCTCACCTGCCCATCCTAGGCTGGCCCAGCAGGACCGAGGAGAAACCCCAGAAGGTCTTGGCCCCAGAGTGGCTAGAAAGCCTAGTGCTCCCTACCTAAGTAGTCACTCCCCTTCTTCCCTCAGCTGGCAGCTTCCAGGGCAGAGTGGGGTTCTCGCGCAGGGCAGATGGACCAGAAGGGCTGGGAGGAGCAGAACTAGTAGAGATCAGGCAGAGGAGGCTGAAGGCAGGCTGGAGACTAACATGGAATGGCAGGGAAGGAGGGAGGCACAGCCTCCACCCCTCTGCGCTAGCAGCCAGCCTGCCTACCCCTTCTGCCAAAGTGGCTACCCCACAGGAGGATGAGTCAAGGCTGGAATTTCTGCCCAGTAGAACCCTGAAGTCTATGGTACCCATAGTCCACCTGGTGGGGCAGTCTGGCCAGGCCAGGATCAGGGAAGGTGGTATGGATAAGGGGTGAGTGGCATAGAGGATGATCTATCTGAGAGACCAATCCAGAGCCTTTGGAACCTTGCACAGTGGCCCAGAGGTCTCCACAGGGCACTCTTGTCCTGGGCAAGGAGTCTTCTGAGAGGCCTTGTGTGGCCCTCAAGACACTCAGGACATGATGCTTCTCCAAGGCATTGCACCCTGTTCAGGACACACAGATACACATACACACACACACACACACACACACACACACACACACCCCTCAACTCAGGGAAAGGACATACAGGTCTCCTGGTGGGATCATAAGACTAGGCTTGAGTGTACAGGGTCCCTAGAAGAAATTCACCAGTTTGGAACAATCATGCCTGATGCTGCAGTTAGGTATGGGGTTCTCCAAGGGGCTAAGAGAGGGATACATAGAGACTGAAGCCCTTTGTCAGTCAATTCCAGTCCAGGCTCATCTTTGGGATCAGAAGCTCAGGCCCATATGGAGACAGGATAGGGTTTGGCTGCTTTTTCAGGGCTTCTGGCTAGAGGGGTGGGGGTCAGGCAGGCTTCCCAGCACAACCCTCATTTCCACTCAAAGAACTGGCACTAGACTCGGTACCCATACTCTGAAGGAGAGGGGGTATCTTAGACACAGAATATGCAGAAAGGGATCCCATTGAGTTAGGGGAGTGCAGAAGGCTTCCCTGCTGTCAGTACCATAAGTAGTCTCACTTTATGGATGAGAGAACTGAGGCCTACAGAGACGAGTTGTTTTCTCCTGAGTACCCTGCTTGCGCAGTCTAAACAGAGTCCAGCTCTGGTCTGAGCTCTCAGTCCTGCTGCTGGGTCATGAATGGGGGTGGCTGCTGGGGGACTCTGGGCTCATAAGTAGGCAATGCAGAGAGCCTGGGAGTGGGGAAGGAGCCCCAAATAGGGTGATGATGGTGGAGATAGTGCAGATAGTCTCACCTGCCTCCCTTCCCCAAACTCCTCACACTGAGCCCTCACCCCCATACGCTGAGGAGGGAGGCCAGGTTGTAGCTGGGAAGAAGTCTTCCATGGACAAACTCTGAGACCTATAGCAAGTCCTTCCCATCTCCACCTCCCCTCACCACTGGACTTGCAGGCCTCGGTTTTCCTTTGTTGGCCTCTCTGGACATGTCCTTAAGCTCCATAAAAGAGCTCTGAGCTTGCAGAGCACCATCTCCTTAGAGTAAAGGAAAGAAGTGGTCATCGTGGTGAGCTGGGCTTGGTGACCGCAGGTGTGAACAAGGGAAGGGGCTGGGTTTCCTGAAGCCTGTGCCACCACCCCAATAGGGCCCTCCTTGTCTGCCCCTCTGAAAGCCAGCGTAGTCCTCCATGTAGGACTGCACGAGGCCACGGCCAAGCAAGATGTGCTGGCAGTCCCTGAGAACACGGAAGGGCTGTGCCAGGCATTCACGCCAGGCCAAGGGCGGCAGGGGCAAGGCTTGAGGTCTGGCTGGTTCTAGGAGCTTGCCTGCAGATGTGGAGCTGGCAGCTGCCAAGATACAAACTCTGGGCGCAGTCTCAGCAGCCTCCTCCTGGAGCATTAGGCCTCACTGAACAACCCTACATGATTTCTGATCAATGTCTCACCTTCCACTCAGTTCCACTGGGACTGTGGGGATGGGGAAAGTTGTGACAGCGAGACAGGCAACACAAGGCACTGTTTTTCACTTTCCTCTGACCACCAAAGGTAAGCTGAGTGGAGGGGCATTCCTGGAGTCCCAGATCTATCCAAGGAGTCTTTGGTTGTAGGCTATAAAATGGGGTACTTACTTGCCTGGTAGAGGAGGGGAGGCAAGACCCAGCCTCCTGCACCAGAGAAGTTGGTCCAGCAAGCCCCAGCTTTCCCCCTGAGAACCCCCGAATCTGTTTCTTTTTGGAAGGCTGGAAGAGAGTTGAACATGGGGCAGGTGTGAGCCATACCCTTTTTTCTCTGGTGCCACCCCCAGTGAGGTTTGCAGAAAAGGCTCTATGGCTGGCCAGGGTGCAGTGTGTGGCCCCTGAACTCCCCCAGCCCAGTATGTCTGAGCACAAGGGGATAGGAGAGCCCTGCTGGGAAGAAGAGGAGAAGCAATGCAGACTGCTTCAGAATCCAACAAGAGTCAGAGCCAGGTTCCTCTGGTTGTCCTGCCATAGAGGGTACCTGTGCCCACTTTACAATCCTTGGCTCATCCAGGATTGGGTGTCCAAGTAGAGCCACCACTGCCCCAGCCCTTTGATGTGAGGCCCAGTGCTGGTGTCTCTCCAGTGGTCCTGGGGTTCATGGAGAAGGCCTGCTGCCAGGACTATTGGGGTGTGGTGGCTAGTCTGGAAGGTGGGTGGTGCATGTGGGAGCAGAGATCAAAGAAGAGCAGGAGGAAGTCATGGTGGGCATGGAAGATCTTCCTAACAGTCAGTGGGTACTGGGGGAATAGCAAGGAAGCTGAGGGGCTCCAGCAAGTGGAGTATCAGAGGTCCCTGGTGCTGGGGCTCCACTGGGAAAAGGCATGCTGAGAATCCTGTGGGACCAAGGACAAGTGACTTCTGGGACACACTCATGCCATGCTGTTTCTAGGGGGTTAGAGTCCATGGTGGGTAAGCTCAGGCGGAAAGACTGGAGTGGAGTCCCCACTCTATCTCACCCCCACACAGGGTGACAAGGAGTCAGAAATCCAGGGGGAGGATCCCAGTGTAGCCTCATTACAAGTCCCTCTTTTGAGGACTTGACAGTGTCACTGGAGGACTACAAAAGTTTGCTGCAAATCCCTTTTCCTCCCAGCCATTGGCGATTCCACAACAGCATAGAGCTTTGGAGGGACTGGGGAGAGGTTTGGGCCAGTGCTAGCAAGTCACCTGGCATTAATGGTCAGTGACTGGCACCCCTTTGGGCCCCTAAAACTGTCTGGTCCAAATTCCCTATGCATGTAGTAGGACTTTGGTACCTGCTTTGGGCAGAAGCAGTGGTAGACCTGAATCCTTGGGGATGGAAGGTGGGCCAGTGTGAGAGTGGGCCAGGGAGGTCTAGCTGCCACACCCATGTGGCCAGCTGGCCACGAAGCCTTTTCTACTCCCTGGCTCAAAGCCTGCTCCCATTGCCCTGCCCTAGTGGCTTGGAAACAACGCCACATCTTGCTTTCAGTATAGCCACACAAGCTCACCCCCTCTGGCCCTCAGCAGCCATACACGGTCATGTTCTACACAAGATACCCCTACCCACCCGCCAGCTCTCCCTGGGAATCTGACTTGCGCCTAGGGAGCATCTTCAGTTTGTCTCAACCCCAGTCACTATAGGGCAGAGAGCCAGCAGGCCAGAGAAGGACAAGACAAGACAGAAGCTCCTCAAGATGGAATTGGAGCCACCTGGATGCAAAGTCCTTGGTCTAAGGAGGGATCTCCCCTGCCTGCCCCAACTGTGGCTTCACCGTCCAGCCTCTTGCTCTGAGTAGATGGGAGCCTGGCCTCATCCTTGGAGCAGTGGCAGGGCGTTCCTGTCCCCCAGCCTTTACTGGCACTTGGTAGACACCCACATGGCTCCATCTCTTTTGCTTCCTCTACTAGATCCCTTGGAAGGCCCCTCAGGGCCCCAAGCCATGTTTGTCCCTGGTAATATGGCACAGTTGCCTCCTTTTCTATGTCCCAACTTAAGAGGGTTCTGGAAACAGAACTAAGATACCCAGGCAGGCCACCCAGGATCCTTATAGCTGGGGCTCTGTGGATCCACACCATGCCCAGGAGAAGGTGGAGACAGGGCATCAGCCTGTGAGGAATATCCAGCTAAGGGACCTGGGGTGTGCCCAGGAACACAAGTCTCTCAGCTCACTTCAAGGGGAGGGGGTGGCACCAGCACTGAATTTTCCATGTACCCCGTCCTCCCTGACCCAGCCACATGCCAAGTTCTCAAGAGAGGCTGAGCAGGGAAGCCAAGGCTAGCAGGAGTGGACGATGTGTCTGGGAAGGGTTAGGCTGTGGGTACAGCCAGCATGCCAGCCACTCAGCCCTGCCTCAGTGATGCTCTGGGTAGCAGACAAAGGGGAATCTCCCTCCTCTCTACCCGCTCTCCAGAAGCAGACAGGCAAGGCAGGGGCAGGCTTAGTAACTGAGCAAGGTCAGAGGGGAGAGGGAAAAGAAAGCACAAGGAAGAGGCAGAAATGGGACAAGGACCAAGGAAACCACAGGGTGGCGATGAAGGAGCACAAACCAGGAGCCTGTGGCCGGTGCCCTGGGAACTTAGAGAGGGCAGTTAAGGGGACAGTGGAACCATGGACACTGGGACAGCAAGATCAGAGATTGAGGCAGCAGAGGCAGCAGCAGGACTGGTGTTCGGTAGCCGGGTTACAGGCATCTCTAGGTTAATGAGGGGACAGCATAGCCAGGAACAAAGATAGGGAAGACTGAGGTCTATATGGAGAGAGTGGGGACAGTTCGGGGCTGACGCTGGCCCTACCTGGGGAGGGGAAGCAGCCAGGTGCAGGCTGATTAGTTGGTGGTCTAGGATATCAGGCTGTCGGTGTGTCTGTCTGTCAGTCTTGACCAACCGGGAACAGCTGCTCACTCCTGGGCAGTTCGTGGAGAGAGGGAGACAGAGGCGGTGGGAGGGAGGCTAAAGGCTGGGCGGGCCAGCAGACAGGGAGGGGCGGGGAGGGGGCGGGAGGGAAGCAAGGAGGGAAGGGGCTGGTGGAGCAGAGAGGGAGGGAGGGAAGGCGGCTAGGAAGAGGGGGCAGGCTTCCCACCCCCTTGGCAGCTTCAAAGGGAGCAATTTTCTTTTAGACGGCTGGGTTGTGCAGCACTCCTCCCCCTTATGCCCCCCCCAACCCTGGCCCCTACCTCAAGCACACTTTGAAAGGACACATACACTCACATTCAGACGGATCCTAGGGTGTCTCTGGGCAGGCACAATCTCATAGAGTCAAATTTTCCACTGCCCATATGGGGACACTGAGGTGCTTGTTGGCATGCAGCCAGGCAGAAGAAAGTGAGGGGGGGCAGTGGGATGAGGAGGAGATGGCCTCAGATGGCTAGGCCAATGAGTGGCCCTGGAATTCTGTCCTAATTCCACCCAGAACCTCTCTCCCCTAGTCTGAAACAAGGCGGTGGTTTGGGAGTCAGAGAAGTCCTGGATTGTAGGTTTCTGGAAGGGCTTGAGCTAGGTTCCCAGGGTCTCTAGTCTTGTCTGTGTGCCAGCAAGAAGACCGCCCCCAGATTCTGGGGACCTCTCTGGCTCACTTCCCTGTGACAATAATTGATTCAGAGAAGAGGAGCCCAGCCTATGATCTTCTTCCTCAAGCTGGGGAGGGGGGGACCGGGGACTAGGATGACACGGTGCCTTAACCACTGTCTCTGTAGGGGGCATTTCCTCTGGTCACTAACTGGGCCAGCCTGCCAAACCTCAGTAGCTTCCTGAGGGCCCAAGTGAGCCCTGTCCAGGGATGTCCCACCCCTCTGTCACCAGCACAGCTTCCAAGATGAGAGTCCTTAGACTGAGGGAGAGACTGAAGCACAGAGTCACACTGAGATCTGCAGAAGGAATTAAGGAGCAAGAGTGAGGAAGGGCAAACAAGGATGAGGGGCACGCTCAGAGAGGCCTAGGCAGAGGGGAGGCAGAGAGGCAGAGGCCCAGTGGAGAGAGGGCAAGGGGAGGGGTGAGCATCACTGCAGGTTCCCAGCTTGGGACAGAGGTTCCATGAAGATTTTAGTTGGCACCAGCATCAGTTTCGTATCCAGATATGGTGATTTCCTTCAAGAACCTTCTCCTCTGGCCACAGAAAGGGAAAAACATGGGAGAAGCAAGATGTGGGCTGGGAGCCCCTGGATTCCATGGAGAGCACACAAGCCCTTTGCAGGCTGGGACTGTTAGTTTTGTCTGTTTCATGTCTTTGTTTAATTTAATTTTTTGAGACAGGGTCTTCCTGTAGCTACAGCTGGACTAGGACTCCCTGTGTAGACCAGGCTGGCCTCCAACCCAGAGAGTCACCTGCGTCTGTCTGCCAAGCGCTGGGATTAAAGTCATGCACCACCTCACCCCATTTTGTTCACGTCTTTTCGGTGTTCCTTTTTTCTCTTTCCTTGTTGTCTTGCAGAGGCAGAAATTAGGCCAGGGTTTTGTATATGCCCAATAAATGGTCTCTCACTGAGAGAGCCTAGCTTTGGCTCCTGCTTTTTGCTGTGTCCATACTCAAACACACCTGACTGTTTACAAAGTTATAACTTGGAACTACAGAGCCTTGTGGACCCTCAGATTCTCTATCCACAGCCACCTTGTGATAACTCTGTCCCTACTCCCCAGTGGCTATACCTAGACATGTCAGCAGAGACAAGGGGCAAAGGCATTAAAGGCTAAAGAGGGTTCAAGGCACTTATGGAGCATTCTGTTCAGTGACAGCAGCCAATGGCAAAAGGCTACATGATGTCTGGCCCATTCATGTGAAATGCCCAGAATAGGCCTATCCAGAGAGACTGAGCTAACAGATGAGTGGGAATGGAATGGTATGGGGCAATGGCTGAATATATGGGTTTCCTGGTTTTAAAACACTTATTACTTTTTATTTTATGCCTGGGGGTGGGGTGGGGAGGTGTTTGTGCCCCTGCATGCAAATAGAAGTCAGAGTTTTTCTCCCTCTAACATGTGGGTCCTAGAGATTGAACTCAGACTCAGTAGCAATAACTTTTACCCACCAAGCCATCTCGCTGGTCCTGGGTCTTCTTTTTGAAGCAATGAAAATGCTCTAAAAGTTTCAGTGATGATGCTCACACAACTCCGAATACACTGAGTGAAAATTACTGAGCTGTTCATTATAAATTGTACGGTTTGTGATCTCTCTCTCTCTCTCTCTCTCTCTCTCTTATGAAACAAATACTAAGCAACATACATCATACAGTAATTGCTGAAGTCCAAAACTGACAATATCGAGAACATGAACTCCCAGGAATTCATTCATTCTCTCTCTCTCTCTCTCTCTCTCTCTCTCTCTCTCTCTCTCTCCCCGTCCCTGTTTTTGAGACAGGGTCTCAATATGTAGCTCTGGCTGACCTTGAACTCGTGGTAATCCTTTTTCATCTATGTCCTGGGTGCTGAAATTACGAGACGGAGCCATCATTATACCCAGCAAGTATCTCTCACTAAACCTTTCTTGTTCTGCTTTTTTGAAATAGGGTCTCATGAAGACCAGACTGCTACATAAGACCAGAATAACCTTGTACTCTCCATCCTTCTGACTTCACCTTTCAAGTGCTGGGATTATAGGCACATGCCACCATGCCTAGCCAAGCCTCTTTTTAAGGGGCAAAACATAACAGAATATATACCCACTGTCACAGGCACCTGTCTGTAAATCCCTTATTGAATCTGGCACCACTTGGTCTGGGCCTGAACTGCTCTGGCGGGTCTCCAGGAGCCCTGGTAGGGAGAAATACCCTGAAGACAGTGATCTCAAGATGGAGCAGCTGTGACCCACTAGACAGACTCCCAAGCCTGGCTCTGAGTGCCATGAAGGAGACAGGTGTCCTTGTTTCTGGTCTCAAAAGGACCGCATGCAGCATCAGAGGCTCAGGAAGACTTTCTGGAACAGACCAGGAAATGCAGAAGAGGGCCTTTGCTTTGCAGAGGGCATGGGGAACAGCCCAGAGAAAGTGTCAGGTTAGGTGGGAGACTGATCAGGAAGCCACCCTGGCTTCCTTCCTGAATGGAGCTTGAAGTAATGAGGAGGTGACCTTCTGCATGAAGGTCAGGGAGAGGGAGTGTATTGTGTACCTTGGGGTTCTTCCTCAAAGTTGGGGGATAAGGTCTGGGCCAGTACTTCCATAAATACGGTTCTTGTGCCTAGAAGGTCCTTGTGTCTGTGGTTTGCAGTCTGCAATAAGCTGTAACTGCATGCCAGGCCCAGGACCCATTGAGTCACTCGTCCTGGCCCTCTAATTTTGGGGCCGCTCCCAGACCAGCCAGGCAGCACCTCAGTCCTTGGGCCTGCCTCTCTCTCTCTTCTGGCTCCCCCTCCCCATGCCTCTGCTCTCCCAGGAGGCCCAGGAGCAACCTGGACCCCAGCTGTAGCAAGCCTGGGAACAGTTCATCCTTGCTGGCCAACAGAGGAATAGCCAGCAGCAGCCCCAGCAGCAGCAGCGGCAGTGGCAGTGGCGGCAGCAGTGGCAGCGGCAGCGGCAGCGGTAGCAGCAGTGGCAGCCCCTTGGCCTCTGGCCTCCCAGGCCTGGGAGGAGGTGCAGAACACAGGGGGAGGGCAGTTAGGGGAAGGAAGGAAGAACAGGCATTTCCTGAGGTCCCCAGGACTCCTAAGGAGAAAGCAACTACACAGCTGTTTTAGTTCCCTTGGAACCAGTAGCATCTGTGTGCAGGGAGTTGTGAGACAGAGCCAATCATCCTGCAACACACCCCTGTGTGACTCTGGGCCACCTCCGACAGGGACAGGTCCCCTACCACCCTAACTTGGATGCGCCCTAACTCGGATGCTTCCCCAGAGGTTCAGAGAGGGTCAGGCTGTCTTGCTGGAATCAGCTTGCCTCACCTGGCCTGCCTCATAGCCTGAAGCTGGGGAACCAGAGCCAGAACGTGAGGAGGAGCCCAGTCCTTCAGATGTGTGGGTAACACAGCCAGCAAAGAAGCTGTCCTGCTGGGAGCAGCTGCCATGGGTACCTGTGTGGCCTGGATACCCAGGTCAGGAGACACTGCTGGTTCCCTGTTTCTGAGTAGCTAGGCTTCTGTCCTTCATTAGGCAGTTATTCCCCAAGCCTGCCCAGGGAAGAACTTATGGCAGGAACTGGTAGGAGGGCAGAGCCTTAGACACATAGAAGTAGGGCCCATGTCTTCCAGAAGGGCCAAGTAGGAAAGGGGCTAAGAGGAGGAAAGGCCCCCTCTCTTGGGCAGGGGAATCTCAGTCAGTTACCACCCCCCTGGCCTGTGTGGACAAGGACCCAGGGTCAGCTGCAGCCCATCCCCCTACAGCTGGGTTGCAGCTGTTTGTACCCGGCTTCAAAGCTAGAAGGGTGGAGGCCCGAGAGAAGCAGGGCACCAAGAGGGCAGGCTATGAGCACACCCGTCCTCCGTGAGTATAAAATGAGAGGTCCTGGAGAGCAGGGTCTGGGAGCCTGGCAGGTGCCCTCTGCAGATGTGACAGCTGCTGAGAAAATTGCCCCAGAGGCTCTTGCCCACTGGGGCTTCTGCCCACCCACATGCTTGGCTCATTAGTCTCTGGGTGTTGAAAAGGACCCCTTGGGCCTGGGCTTCACAGGGGTCCTCTGCCAGTACCTCTTCTGAGCTTCTTCCTGCCCTCTTTCTGTCCTGTTCCCCTACTGTGTCCAGCTGGCTGGGAGGGTGGCTGCTGCTTGAACCAAGGCTCTGCATAGTGCTTCTCCCAACTGTTCTGGCAGTGGTAAAATAATGCCTGGCTTCCAGATGGGCTGAAGAACAGGAATCAGATAGTGGTCCTGTCCACATGAAATGTGTGTGCTGCTGGACCATGAGCAAGGCTATGCCTGGAGAAGAAAGATGATGGTGGAAGTAGTGTGCACACCAGCCTCGGGGGCAGGGAGGACTTGCAGAGGAGGACACTGTGTCCCACAGTACCTTTTAGTACCCTCTGCAGTGTTCCTGTGGACTTCTTGGGAGCCAGCCCTAAGCATGGGGCCTCTTCCCATGGGATCATTTTTGGGTCACAGCCTCCAGAACAAATGCTCAGTTAGAGACATGTCACATGCTCACCAGGGTCACTTCTTTAGCAAGCAATTCCTGCCCAGAGTGCCTCCAAGTTCACAGCCTTGCTAGGGCCTCCCTCCCAGCCCACTAACTCTGTCCATGGCTGATGCCCATACCCTCAGTAACTGAGCAGAGGCCCAAAGACTCCAGAGGGCAGGCCTGCCACCACTAGAGTGGCTCTTGAGTGATTACCTGAAGCCCAGGGGTGGTATGAAATGGGTACTTGGCAGGGGCAGGCAGCCCTCTGTGTTGCAGGAGGTAGAGCAGTTAGGGACACAGCTTATTCCAACTTGCTCAAGATTGAGCTGAGGTAGTGCTACGAGCCGAGCCTCCACTGTCTGGGAGCTTCCCAGGGCTGATGGCCGAGGCGTGGTTGGTGAAAGCTGGCATTCTCTACGCCAGGAGCTTTTTTTGACCTTCCCCTGAAGACATAATCACATAGCATCTCTCCCCTCTGGGCCACCAGGGCTGTAATTTCAGGGACTGAAGGGGGCTCCTTGAAGGCCTGGCCTGTGTCTAGCTATCTTTAGAGGCACGATCTAGGGCATGGCCAGTAGAGAGAAAGTGGTCAGGGACTATGCTGTGGCTTATACGGATGGCCTTCAAAGCTGATGAGCCAGGGGGAGGTCATGAGGATCCCTGAGACCCTGTGCTCGTTTGTTGAGCAAGACCAGGCCCCAGGAGTACAGCTTTTGTCTGTGGCACATGGAACTGGATGACTCTAGTAGGTTTGGGGAGGGGCAGGCCAGACCCTGTCTTTCAAGCCCTCTAGCCAGGTGCCTGGCACCTGGCGTGAGGACTATAGAACCTAGTGTCTCCCAGATGGTGGCAGTTTCTATGGGAGTAGGGGCTGTAGGGTAACCCTGGCACAAAGAACAGCACATTGAACACAGTTTCCTCAGCCCTGGGGTCTGAGGCAGGGGGACGTTTGGAACATAATGTGGGCAGACTAGGCAGGGGAGGCTAGTGGTTACAGAACTTGGAAACTGATGGCACAGGGACCAGGAACAAGAGGAACAGAAGTGCAAAGTCCTGCTGAGGTCCCCTTCAGGAGATACCGGCCAGCCCCAACAAGTGCACTGTTTTCTATCCTCATTTTCCACTTGAACTTGATAGCCATAGGAGTGCCGTTCCTGAACCCCATTGTCCTTATCCACTATCTCAGTGCCCCATCTTAATTTGGGGATTGATAAGTGCCTCTTTTCTTGCCACATGACCCCAGGCACCCCATCACCACCAGTTGAATTTTTACTATGGTGTCCTGTTAGCACCCTGGGGCTCCTAGTTGGGTTGCATGCACTGCTGGTGCTTGCCTGAAGAAGAGTACAGTGACTACCCTCCTGTGTAGACTTGGCCAAGGGAGAAGCAGGCCAAGGAAGCCTAGCACAAGGGGATGGGGGATGCTGGGAAGCAGACAATAGGCAGTCAGCCCTGACCTAGGCCCCCTTGCAGCTTTATCTGTGGATGTCCCTCATGGTGGCAGCCTAGACACTGGTTGCTGGTTGCTGGCCAGCCCCTCCCATGTCACCACTGGACTAAAGTCTCTGACCTCTAGCTGCCGGGACTCTCGAGCACCAAGATCCTGTCTGTCTTGTGGAATTACCTGGGGTGAAGACAGCACCCTGTTTGCTGGGCATCCCTTGCTGGGGATGATATAGGGATATAAAGCCATGTTCCCCTTGTCACAACTCAATGCCAGCCCAGTTCCAGAGTGCCCTTGGGGCTAGCTGAGGCCTGTCTGATCATCGCTCAGCTTCAACTTTGACCAGGTGGTGGATCCCAGAACCCCCTTGTAGAAGTTCTGAATGAAAATCTCCTGCCTCTGTATTGGGAACATCACAGGGGAATGCTCCCTGCTCCAGGCTCTGCTACTTCACAGTTTACCTCACAGGCAAACCAGAGTGAACTCAGGAACTGTCTGTGGAGTGTCTGTCCCTTGCCCTCCTCCACCTGTGCAGGGTATTTCCCCCATTCCTTGAGCTAGTTGCCCTGACACACAGTGAGCCTCCTTGCCTCATCTGCTTAGCAGGGCTAAAAATGGGGAGGACTGATGGGATGTTGGGTCTGCCCAGCCCACACTTCCTGTGCCTCCTGGGTTTAAACTCTGGAACTGGGAAGACGGTGGGAGAGAGGGGAGCTGGAGGGACTGGGAGACAAGAACAGGATGGGCAGGGTTTGGGGTGGCTGGGCTGGGGAGGAGGGTTTGTGAGAGTTGGGAAAGCAGGGCCAATGCCTCCAGGGCTGCTGACCTCTGACCCAGCCCAAACAGGAAGTGCCATATCTGTGGGCCCAGACTGGAGAGGAGAAGGAATGCAGGGATGAGTCCAAAGCAAACACTCCACCAGCTTCCCAGTTCCCCCACCCCCAAGTCTGGTCCTTTCCGCTGAGAATGTGGTGGTGGGGGTAGGGAACTAGGGGAATTGCTGCAGAATGAGACCAAGGCAAGACTGAGTTCCCAGGCCCAGAGCCCTGCTGGAACTGGTGGTAGTGTGAGGGCTCTGTAGTACGTATTTTTGTGCCTTTCTTCTGTTTATACCCCAGAAGGCAGGGGTGGTCTCTCTCCTGTTCCATCTTGTCTGCCTGTCACCTGATGCCCAGGCCTTGAGCTGTGGAGGCTGACCCAGGAACCCTGGCCCTTTTTCTCTGTGATTCCCCTCACACAGGTAGGACAACTGCTCCTGTAGCCTCAAGGGGGTCTGCAGAGCAGTATCCCAACCCAGCAGAGCCGACCCTGCCCTAAGCCATCACCACCCTGGCGCTGCAGGATGATGCTGATCAATCAGCGCCAGGTCTCCAAGGCTGAGCCCCCTAGGCAGGCCTGGCCTTGCGGACCAAAGGCTCAGTCCCCAGCAAGTGCTGAGTAGATGTGACCACCCTGTCCTTGTACCAGGCCACACAGGGCATAACCTGGTCCCACAGGAAGCAAAGTGTACATCTTTGGGCAAGTTCTTTTACCTGCCTGCACCCTAGTTTCCTGTCACTAAAGTTGGTAGCACTCTGAGGATCCGGAAAGCTGACTGGGAGTGGATATGTATGGAGGGTCAGGGATGAGTGTCCTGGAACATGAAACGGAGGAGGGGCTTCAAAGGTACTAATATGTAGCAGTCACTAGCTCTTGCTTGCTTTAAGACAAAGGGCAAGTGTTGTGGGATTCCCTACCAACCTGTACCAGCAGCCAAATACCATCTCTGTGGGCCTTTCCTGGCTGAGGATAGGAACACCTAGTAGAGAAGAGGCTTCAGCTATAGATGGTTCCTGGAGCAAGGGCGGGGGTTAGCTACAAGGGTTCAGGACCCTGGTGAGGACAGGAAGCTAGGGAGGCTTTTAGAATTGCTGTGGGCAACAGGCCTCTGAGCCCTTTCCTGATGAAACAGCATTGAGATTGTGGCTAGGGACTCTTGGCAAAGAGAGCCAGAGCTCTTAGTGCATGCAGCTTAAATCTAAGACACACAAAGTTTGAACAAGATCCATTTATTACAGTCAATTACAAGCCAGTGCTGCCCCACCCCTTGCTTCCACTGGGTCATTTGCTGAGTAAAATGGCCTCCATCAATCATGGGAAGTAGGTATATCCCAAGAAGTAGGGGCATTTAAAACTTTTCCCCAGTGGTGCAAAGATTAAGTGGAGCTTGGCTTGGGTGTACCCCAACCAATAAGTACTGGGGAAGGGAAAGTAGGTAGGGTAGGACTAGGAGCCTTCCTCTTTCTGCTGAGGCTGAAGGACCACACTGTGGTGGGCTCGAATTCAGAAGGCCGTAGGTGGGATGCGGCGCAGGTCAATGAGGTTGTTGTCCAGCTGTATGGCAATAAGGTTGGAATCCTGGGCCACACGTGTATCACAGATGGAATTCAGGGGCACGTGTCCAGGAAAGAGGCGGCAAGGTGGAGCAGGGAAGAGAAGAACCCAGAAAAGAAGGTCAAGCAGCATGCAAAAAGAGACAAAAAGCCCCATGGTTGAGAGAGAAGAGCAGTAAGATTCAGGCACACAACACAGAGCTTGGGAGGAGGACTGGGTGGCCTCCTTCCCCTCTGAACTCAGTGCTCAGCACTTGGCTGCCAGCCCTAGCCCTTGCTGCTCTGGGCCAGAGACCCACCTTCCCTCTGCCCATCCCCTATCCAGATCCAGCTATCCAAAGCCCTATACCTTGGCTGCGTGGGCTTGTCAGCCACAGGCACAGTGCTCCATCCTGAGCAGGAAAGGGAATGATTCTCTCACTCTTGCCCATAGCTTCTCCCAGACCTCTGAGGCCTGTGGGCAGGGTGCCTCTTCCTCCTGACTAGGGGTAGAGATGGATGTAGGTGGACAGGCAGCCCTACCTGATCTTATTGTGGCTCAGACGCAGCACCTGCAGACCCTTGAGCCCCAGGAGGCCATGTGGGATGGCCTACAAGTGATTGTGATCCAGCAGCAACTCTGCCAGGGAGGTGTGCAGGCCCAAGAAGGACACTCTGTGGATGCCCTCAGCATGTAGCCTGTTGTGGGACGGGTGTAGGAACTCCAGACCAGGCTTCACATGTGCAAGTATGTAGTTTGGGATGCACTCAATGAGGTTGTGACACAGTATCAGGCACCTCAGGCTCTGTGGTAGGAAGGAAGGCACATGTACCAGCAGGTCGTGGGTCAAGGGTCTCCAGCTTCCTGTAAGGTGGAGCATATAGGCACAAAGAGAGCTGGAGGCTTGAGTGGTTCCAGTGTACCCAGCCCAGCTACCATGGGAGCTCCAGAGACTGGAGCGCCATACCCAAGAGAAGCCCTGGGCCCACTCCTCAGAGAAAAATGAGGTCGTGTCCCTACATGGCAGCTGCCACCTTGAGCTCTTCTAAGCAGGGGCGCATAGGACTCCTGAGTCAGCCAGGACCTGTGTAGCTTCTTTGTTCCCCTCTGCCCCCAAAGATCCTGAAGAGGGGGCCTGAGTGAGGCCTTCCTTCTTCCTGTTGGGCTAGTCACACCAGCCCTTATTGTAGAGACAGTGGTCTCTTCTCTTACTCCTTCTTCCTCTGTCATAGGGTCTCCTAGGCTCTTGGGCCTGGCACCCTAACAGTTCCTAAAATCTGGGGGCTGTAGAGATGGTTCAGTGATTTAGAGCATTGGCCTGGCTGCTCTTGCAAAGGACCCAGGCTCAGTTCCCAGCACCCACATGGTGGCTAACAACCATCTGTAACACCAGTTCCAGGGGATCTGATGCCCTCTTCTGGCCTCTGCCGGTATTGCACTCACATGGTGCACTTATATGCAGGCAAAACATTCATATACACAAAATAAAAAAAAATCATAGCTGGGTGTGGTGGTACATGCCTTTAATTCCAGCACTTGGGAGGCAGAGGCAGGTGGATCTCTGTGAAATTGAGGCCAGCCTGGTGTACATAGTGAGGTCCAGGTCTGCTGGGGCTACAGGGAGACCGTGTTTCAAAAAAAAAATTCCACCAAAATCTGCCCCCTTCCCCTGTTTGTCCTAGGCATAAGAGCATTCTCTTGGTGTCTGTCCCACTCTTCTTAACCTGCTCCAGCCAGTCTTATCCTCTTTGCAGCAGTCAGATGGCAGAGAAAAGCAAATCAGGTAACTAGCAAGAGTTCTGGGCATCCAGCAGGGAAGAGGGATGCAGGAAGGCTAAACTAATAGTGAAGCTCACCTTGCCACTTTCTGTTGGGCCACCATAAGCCCCCTGTTAGTCTGTGGTGGATCCCTGACTCCTTGACTCCAAGGCCTGGTCCCTCCAAATCTGTAAGAACAGAGGGTGGTAATGCCAAGAATGGTCAGAGCAGGGAAAATGGCTTCTTTTAGTGATACCCCCCTTCTCCCAGTGCTTGTAAGTGGGGCAAGGCATTGGGGCAGTTCCCCTGTCTCCTGCCCCTGCACGCTGCAGTCCCCATGTTTTCTGCCAGCAAAGGGAAGACCGCAGTGTCTGCAGTCAAGGAGAGGCAGGGGCTGAGCCTGTGCTTGACTGGCCGCCAGCCCCCTGCCCAGGCCCCGCGGCAGTGGGGGAAGAGGGGAGTGGAACGCAGCTGGGTGGCCCCTCCCAGGCTGCTGTCTGCTTTCTTTTGCCCCCTTGGCAAGAAGGGGAGAGGAAAAAGGAATAATTAAACCCAAACGTCCTGGTAACTTTTTCCTGGAACAAGAAGACACAGGGCGGGAGATTCTGGTCCTGGGAATAGTGAGTGGGACTGTCTGGTGAGTGAGACTCCACTCCTACTCCAGCCAGTCCCGTCTTGGTGGTCAGCAGACCCTCATGAGCCTCTTGTCTGTTGTCCCCCAGCCTCCCTTAGTCTGCTCTATTTTTCCCAGAACTGGGTCCTGCCTGTTTAACCCTGTCCCCTCTGATCTTTGTCATGGTAAGAAATCTCTAAGTGCCAACCCCAACCATCTATCCAAACCAGACCAGGGGAGTTATCCTAGGCCCTTCTTGTAGTGGGGTGAGTGGTAGCCAAAAAGTATGCCTACTTAGTCCCTTTGATGCTGACTTTATGTGTCTAAAGGGGCTTTAGAGATGCGGTGAGAATAGGGTGTTGAGATGAGGTGGTCCTGGGTTATTGAGGTGGGTCCTAAACCCACATAACAGACAGAAGGGAGAGAGGATAGAGGGAAACGCACAGGGGAGGAGGCCATGAGGACACAGAAGCACAGACCAGAGTGCCGCGACCACAAAGGTCACTGGGGAGGCAGGGGAGAAACTGGAAGCTGGAGAAGAAAGGGAAGATTCTGTTCTAGAAACTTCTGAGGGACCATGCTCCCTCACACCCAGATTTCAGGCTTCTGTTGTGCTAGGACACCCAGTTGTGGGGCTTTGTGATAACCCCAGGACACACATCTCTGCTCTGCCCTGCCCCTCCTTTCCATGTTCCTTTCTGTTGTTGTCACCTCATAGCTAAACCCAGCACTGGGTCAGCTTTGCCTGTCACCGCAGCTCAACATGGGCTTCCTGGGTGCCAGCAGGGCAGGCATGGGCATGGCTGTGGGAGGGAGCCATTCATGGTAAGGGGTGTGGGGCAGGCCTTAGAAACTTGTAAGAGCTTGGAGGAGCAGGTGGTGACAGGGCCCAAGCTTCTTTGAGCCCTAGGAAGAGAGTATGGTGACCTGATCAACCTCCTAAGACCAGGCCCTCTCCACAGAGCGTCTGCTGGCACCTAGGCCTTCTGCCATCTCTCTGGAGTTGCCTGGCTCCACGCTGTCCTCTCTGATTTCCTGCCTGACTGTGCTTTAGGGGCCCTTCCTCACTGTCCTCCACACACTTATTGCGTTAATGGTCCCCCAGGGTGCACACAGCAGGTTGATCCACGCCCCAGGTGCTAGCCGGTCCTCCTGCAGCCGGTTGTTGCTAAGCAGCAGCACACTGAGGTTATGGATACCATTCAGCACAATCTCTGTCACCTCTTGAAGGAAGTTACTGTGCAGGTGCAGCTCGTAGGGCCAGGAGTCAGGGGTCATGAGGAAGGCCCGCTGCTCCATCTGTGGGACTTAGGTGCCATCATTACTGCCACTCAGGCCCATGGGAGTCTGTTCCAAGGATCCTGGGAGAACCTGCTGACTTGGCCATGGCTCCTCTGAACCCTACAACTCATATCCCCAGAAAGCACCACCAGTGAGGCCAGACTTTTCCTGGATGGAGTGGGCTTTACTCAGTGTGATGGTTCTTTTAGATTGTGTCTTGATTGTATTAAGAAGACCTAGGCCATTAGTGAGGCAGACCTCTGGCTGTGTCTCTGAGGGTGTTTCCAGAGAGGCTTAACTAAGGACCTGGCCTAAATGTGGGTGGCACCAAGCTATGGGCTTGGGTCCTAAATTGAATACAGAGGGAAAAAGGAGAAAGCCAGCTGAGTGCTTCCTGACTGCAGACATGGGACACAATGTGACCAGCTGCCTCATACTCTCTATCATGTCTTCCCTGCTACGATGGACTCCATCCCCTCAAACCATGAGCAAAAAGAATCTTTATTGCCTTCAGTTAATTCTTGTCAGGAATTTTGTCACAGCAATGGGAAAAGTAACTGATATATTCAGGGACACCCACTGGATGCAGAACAGTCCAAGAGGTAAATCTGGACATTGGAGAAGTTTGGCTTAGACCAAGGAGAGGCCCACAGGCTGGGAAGCCCTGTGAATTTCATGATAAAAATTCCGGAATGAGCTGCATGATATCTGTCAGCAGATGCTCAGGTCATTTGTTTACCAGGATATCACCTCCTCATCCTAGGGGTGGCCTGTTCTCCTGCAGGGAGGCTGGTAGGCCAGGTGGGATGGTCCTCAGTCAGTTTTGGTCCAGTCTCAGGTAAAGCAGGTTGTGCAAGGGCTAGAAGGTCAGTGGGGTGATGTCCCCATTAGGTAACTGGTTTCCTTCTGCCTCTATTGTCAACAGCTGGCTGAGCCCTGTGGGCCTGGCAGAGGGCTGACTGGTGCTTCCTCACCTGTGCCTCCCTCATTCTTCATCCCACCACCCATTCCTCCTGCCTTTCAACCCTCTTGCCCTCAATCCCCTTGCCCGCACTCTGGAAGTTGCTGTGCTGCGGGCTCTGCAGGAGACTGTCATTGAGTTTGAGCTCTTGCAGGGAAGAGGGTAAGGCTGGCACCGTGGACAGCAAATCTCCATCCAGATTGAGCTGCTTTAGCTGCTTCAGATTCTGGTGGGGGGTTGGGGGAAAGGAGGCAGGCTGGGGTCTAGCTATTGTTGGTCAGAGCACAAGCCTTCCTGGGCATGACTCCAGGCCCATCCTAGGCAAGGAACACCCCCCGTCTGACTGCACTGTGGCTCCTAGCTGCCATCGGACCTAGGCCTGTTGGGGACATCTACTACATAGAGGAGTCCAGGGGTCTGTTCCATGCACCCCAAATCACAGGAGCCACCCTGCAGTGTCCTCCAGACCTGAACCCTAGCAGCCTGCCACTGTGGACCAATGCAGAGCAACGAACCTCTTGGGCCATCTGAGACATGTAAGACCCCATCCAGGTCCTGGATAGTTGGTAGAAGGACTGCAGCATGACTCGAAGGCATGTGGGTGCGGGCCTTGGCTCTCTAGTTTGTTCTTGCTCAGATCCAGCCACTCCAGGTTGGGCAGTCCCAGGAACGTGTGGGCCAGAATCTTGGCAATTTTGTTGTCTGTACACACATGGGGCAGCCATATCCAGTGCCCCGTCCCCTGCCCTTTGCTGCTCTTCACCTCCCAGGGCAAGACATTGCTCCACTGCCAACCAGGACCCACAGTGAGGCCAGCCATCTGCAGAGTAAGAAGGCAGCCACAGTGGTTGAGGGCCGGTTTGAAGGGGAGCCAGGGCAAGAGTACAGGCCTGCTCCCTTTCCATCCCTACTGCTCTGGTGGGTGTTGACAGAGTGGGGCTACCCACCTTCTAGGTAAAGGGTTGTCAGACCAGGATCCACCAGGGTGGGGGCATGTTTCATTTTGACCTTGTGGTAGGCAATAGCTGTCTGGGCCAGTGGACACAAAGCCGGCGAGGAGGGCGTAAACTGCTCTGTAGTGCCCATTTCTGTCAGCCTAGGCCCTTGCCCTTGCCTGCTTCCTAGCTTTTTCTGCACACAGCCTGTGGCCTCTGAGGTGCTGCTGCCATTGTTCTGGTGTCTATCCCAGTCCTTCTGTTGGTGCAGGGCTCCTGGCCCAGATTGACAGGAGATCCCTGGAGGAAGACAGAAGCAGCCCTGACCTGGTCACGAGCAAAAAGAGCCCAATCGAGGGGCAAAGGTTTGCCAGTGATTGAGGCTGGGAAGGGCTATAACTTTGGAGGGTTCCTCTCCTACCCTGCATGCTTGTCTTGGGCACAGAATGGGGCAGGGCCTGAGTGGCTAGTGACACTCATGTGCCTGGTGGAGGAAAGACAAGGCCTTGACCATTTTGGTCACTCATGAGTAACCTCATCACACCCAGCAGATATCACCTAGGGGACATCTGCCCTGGCTAGTCCTTACCTTTGGAGTGCCTCCTGGGTTTCAGATCCCTTCTCCTGGTTTCTTGACCTCCTACCTTTCTGTCCTGGCCCTCCACTGTGACCACTGCCCTTTATGGGTTCCCAGAGTTCTTGCTAGCCTGTAAGGGTTTGAGCTTCTCCACCATGGGCTTCTCTGTCCCAGCTCCTGAGGAAGCTATGGCCTGGGGCTGAGCCTGCTGGTTACCCATGCCACTGCTCAGATGCCTTGCTTGCCCTGAGACCACCAAGGGTGATTCTTTCCTCAGGGCCAGGTTTGGTCTGGCAGGTGCTTTTCATTCAGGGACACTGTGAACTTGCTCCTTGAGGGTGGGCCAAGACCAGCTCTATGGCCAGTATAGCTGCTCCTCTTCAGTTCTGTTTGGGTTGCTGGGTTCTATAGAAGGTGCTAGTATGGGCTCTGGTGGCTGAGGGGTTTGGCCCTCGCCTGCTATTGTGTGTCCATGGCAGTCTAGTTATTAGCTTCTTTCCTCTCTGTCCAGGCCTCCCTCTGTCATTCTTTCATCTCCAGAGGGGAGAGCTAGAGCGAGAGCAAGAGAGAACAGAATGCCATCCCATACCACCAATTGCTCCACCTGTCTCTCAGAACTGATGTAGTGCTTCCACTGGGGGCTCTCCAAGCCCAACTGGACAAGATACAGGCTGGCTCCCAGCCCACAAGAACTTTGTTTTCCTGGGCCAAGGAAATCAACTCGCTCAGGGGACCTTGTGTCCTATCTCTCCTTATTGCCTCTTCTCCAGTGCCCCCTAAAGACAGAGGGAGTGAGCATTGCCTCAGCATCCCCCTCTGCCCCTACCCAGTGCTGAGCAGATGCCTAATTGGGACAGCCTCTGGAGCGATGAACAGGTGCTGCCACCTGGCACAGTTAGCCTTTGGAGGTGGCAGCCCCAGCATCTGCTAAGAGGTAGGGTTTGTTGGGGGGTAGTTAAGCTAAAGGCTATCTTATGGGGCTGTCAGCCACCTTAAAGGAAGGGCAATAATCTCTGGGGCCTGTCCTGACCCAGCAGCCCAGAAACTCTTAATGATCTGTGTTCCAGGGATGGGATGGGGGCCTAGACCTACTCAACTGGCCCCTCTTGCCTCCTTAGGCCTAGGGCAGGGCCACCAAGCACAGCACCCAGCAACCCACACTCATAGTCCTTGTCCCAGAGCCCCCAGCTCTGTTTGCCAACCTTCTGCCCCATTTCCAATCTCCCAAGATTCTCCTGTTAGTAGGCTTTTCAGCAGCTAGATTAACTCCCTACCAGCAAAGCCTGGTCCATTCTTCCAGCCTCACCCATTCTTGCCCCACCCTATACAATGGGCACAAACACTTCCAGAGTCTGCAACACCCCTCACTGTCTAGAAATGGTTCTCTGAGGGCCAGTGGCTGCTTCAGGTTTTGCCTGAGTGTCTTAAGTTGGCAGTCTTCAGGTGACTGGCTTTCTCCCCCTCTGCTCTAGCTCCAGGGGCACTGCAGTGGCAGAGCAAGGTACTCTTCTTCTTCCCAGTGCCAGCTACTCACCGTTGGAGGATCTAGAGCTGCTGGGTGGTGGCTGTACGATGGGTAAAGCTGCTGGTGCTGGTGGGGCTATGAACTCTCTTGTGCTCAGCCCCTGCTTGGCCAGGGCCTCTCCAGAGCAGCACCCCACCCAAAGAATCAAGATGGGGACCAGTACACCCTTCATGGCCCCTGTGGGCCAGCAGAGGGCATGAGCTGGAAGAGATAGAACAGTGACCACGACTGGATGGGACACACAAACCCACAGAGTGATGGTAGGATAGCCTGTGCCAGTCCTGCTGCCTGAGCTTCTGGCTCTGGCTGTGTCTCCGGGAGCTACCACTGCCCACCCTGCCCCCCTCCACCAAGGCCTTCCTTCTGCCAAACAAATGGCTCCCAGGTCTTGGGCCCAACTCCCCACAATGTCCACTGCTCCCACCTAAGGAGAAAGACGGTGATTCTTTCCTGGATCTGAGGGCACATGCTTTCTCTGTAAGGCCTGCACTGACTACTGGCCCAGACCCAGTGCCCCGATGAATTGGGCATCTGTCTCCACACACTGCTGGCCTATGAGGTCCACCACAGGGCAGCATACAAACCACATGCTGCCAGGGCCTACCTTTATGGCACGGAAAGAGGAGGAGCAGGAGCCTCTTGGGTCCCCAGGAGATGGGGTAGGTGCCAGGGCTGCCTGGGGCAGTGGAGGCTCTGGTGTCCACAGAACTAGCCAATTCCATGGGTTTCTGCTGCGGGTAACTGAGAAGCCTCCTATTCCACGGGCAGCAGAGCCTGAGGGCCCCTGGGAATAAGGCTGCTCCTAGTCCTGCCAGTGCTCTTTCCGCCAGAACCCTACCTCAGCCTCTGTGGAATGGGAGGCAACATGAGTGTCCTGTGGTTCCCCCCCCCACATTAGAACATGTGTACACCAGGCACTGCCTGGGTGAACCCAACTCATAAGTCCCCCAGAATTCCTGGCCAAGAAGCCCAGACCACACATGTCCCTGTCCTCCCCAACACCCTGTGGGCCCTATGGGTCAGGTTGGTACCAGGTAGAAAGGAGGCTGGGCCTAAATGAAGGTACAGCTGGGGAGAAGCAGAGTGGAGCAGAGCAAGAGGCAGAGAAGTGGATGTCTGTACGAATCCCTGAAACAGTCCTTGGGGGTGTCAGCAGTCCCTGTTCTAGTGCCTGGGCCGGGACGCCAGGCATTTGGCATCCCCACAATCCCAGCTCCAAACCCAGCTCTGGGGTGGAGGGGGCAGGCGGCTGGGGCTGGCATGCTGCTCAGCCGGCCACAGGGCTCAGCTCTTCCCGGCCAGCATTGAGGAAGCTTTTCCTACAGTTCTGTCCAGTGTTGACTTATGTTTGGAAGCATTCTGAAAAAATGAGTTAATTGTGGGCAAGGCCTGGATGGAGGAGAGAAGGGGAAGCAGTGGGGGAGGGGCAGACAGGGACCACAGCCTTGTCTGTATTTGCATGTTAGCGTCTCTGTCTCTGTCCCGCCATGGAACAGTGTGTGAGGCCCTGGGAGGTATGTATGTGTGAAGCAGACGGGAGGGAGTTGAGGTTGGAAAGTGGGTTTTTGTTGGGCTCCTTGACAGTTGCCCACTTGGGTCTGAGGAGCAGCAGATGTACTAGGATAGGGGAGGGAGGGACCTAGGAATCACTGTTGTGGAGAAGTCCCCAGCCTATGAGCCACACAGGGTCCATCCACAGTCTCCTCCCCATTTCTGCCGTGTAGGACTCTGCTTTATGACCTGAAATTGGGACAGTGCCACATAGAGACTAGAGACTCTGGCTGTCTTGGGAGCCAGGGATGAGGCCACTGTCTGACTGTGCCCCCTGTGGGTGATAGAGGATGGCCTAGGCCCAGAGTTCTGCCTGGGAGGCAACGCTGAGGCTGGGGGAGGGGAGCCCTGAGGCCTGAAAGGCCTGAAGTGTACTGTCATCCTGGAGAGCCAGAGAGAGAACACCCTCCACTCCCCCACACACCATCATTTTACAAAGAAGTGCATGGGGGGGTGCTCACCCAAGTCCTTGAGCCCCCTGGAGATGCCCTGGCTCTGCCCCTCCCCCTGCCTGGGATGGATTCTGGAATCCTGGCCCCCTACCCATTTCCCCTGTTCTTGAAGCTCCCCAGGCGCTGACTAAACATCCTGCCATCTGGTTCCCATTAACTGGGCTGTGGGTGGGGGGAAGCCTGCTCCCAGGTTTCTCTGGCACAGGCAGCCTGGAGGAGGGAGAGACACCCCCCTTTCGCCACCAAAGCAGGAAGGGGCAAGGCCTGGGGTGCTCCCATTTCTCCAGCTCCCATGGATCCCTAGCTTGGCTACCCTTATCTTGATTGGAAATCCAGTGACCAACCCAGGTGGACAGCTGAGGTATGGTCCTTCTGCCATCTACTCTATCTAGTCAGAGTCTCCAGACAACTCTGGGACCCCAAAGAGCAGAACCAGCCTGTAGTGAGGAGCTCAGCAGAGCCAGAGATCCCAACAAGTTTGGGTCTTGCCCTCTCCCCTCCCCAAGAGCTCATTTGCAGACTCGGACTCTACTCAGGCAGAGCCAGCCAGGACCCCAGGCCAGCAATGATCTTGAGCCATGTCTGGAGAGGAGGGTGGGAGGGGCACTGGGATTTTCCAGGAACCATGATGAGGCCTGGGGGTTGCTGGAGAGGGGGTTGCTGGAAAGAGCGTCAGGCTCAGCCATATCCTCTGGCCCAACTGGTCCTGTGATCTCAGGAGCAAGCCTCCTAGCCCAGTGCCCTAGTCTCCTCTCCTCAATGTGGAAGACACAGGCTCCTTCGAAAGCTGTGCATTCTGCGAGTGGGCAGGGAGAAGGTAGATAATCACCATGGCGTATAACTTTGCCATCCCAGAGTTCCAAGGGTAAGGAAGAAGACTCTCCCTGCTCCTTTTTCCTTCCCTTCCCTTCCCTTCCCTTCCCTTCCCTTCCCTTCCCTTCCCTTCCCTTCCCTTCCCTATTGTCAATTGCGAAGGAACAGCCCACTGCATAGATATGCTACAGCTGGTGGATCATGGCTTCTTTCTGCTTCAGGCAGCTATGAACACCCATGAATATGGTTTTCTTCTCTCTTCTCTTCCTCCCCTCCCCTCCCCTCCCCTCCCTTCCCCTCCCTTCCCTTCTCTTCCCTTCTTTCCTACCACATGACACTGGCCCCCAGGGCTTTTTGTCTCTTAAGCGTTTTCTCAGAGCTGCACTGCACAGCTGAGGATTCTTCTCTCATCAAGGGAGGACTGGAGAATAGATTTTTTGCTCACCAAATGTTCCTGAGCCCCTGCTAGCGAGGGAACAGGGATTCCATCAGAAACGAAGAGGCTGGCCCTGGTAGCTAGAGGAAACAATACTTTTGACAGTATCAGATGAAGGCCTTGAGAAAGTGACTTGGACAGAGATGAATGAAAAGGAGATAGCCATGAAAAAGAACTTCAGTAAAGAGCCCTTCATAAAGGAGGACTGGCCAGTGAAAAGGCCCTGAAGCAGGATAGTTTGATTCAACTTGAGAAAGAGCAGGGAGACCAGGGTGGTGAAGTAGGCTGAGTGAGGGGCTGAAAGTGGAAGAGAGCAGGAGGCCCTGCTTGAGAAAGTTGTCAAGGTGGCGAGGTAACATAGCTTTTGTCCTTGAAGGAAAGAGAACCACCATGGACTTCTCAGAAGAAAAGTTGCACGATTTGACTTACAAAAGGTGACTTCACAGCCAGATGGAGCACAGACTCATTGGAGTAACAGAGGTGAGAACAGGTATGAAGGTGGCTGACTTGCCTAGGGGAGAAATTGTGCCAACCACACACCTGCCCCAGCTCAGAAGTGGAGCTGTGAGGTAGGCTAGCAAACATTCAAGCTACTGTCTAGAAGGTACTTCAGGAAAGTATCTGGACCAACGTATGTGTAACTGTCACTGCTCTGTCACTTGTCCAATACATAGAGTCCCTCCCATGTGTTTGCACTCCTGCCAGGGTGTGAGGCAGAACAGTGGTTTGGTAACCCATGGCGCAATCCTGAGACTTCCACACCTTGTCTGGATACATCAGGTGTGTGTGTGTGTGTGTGTGTGTGTGTGTGTGTGTGTTACATCGGGTGTGTGTGTGTGTGTGTGTGTGTGTGTGTGTGTGTGTGTGTGTGTGTATGTGTACCCATGTGCATGTGGATTCTGCATGTGCACATGTACGTAGGCCTCAGGGCACACACAGGCAGCTGTTGCATGGCAGGAAAGGTACAGGAGCCTTTCCTCCTTAAAATCTTTCAGAAAAGTAAAGTCAAACTTTCCGTGCCCTCCTCCTGCTGCCAGAGACCCTTCCCTGGAAGAAACTCAGCTTATTTTAATGCCATTGAAACTTAGAGGATCTGCTCCCAATTAAAGGCACACTCTTGTAGATTCTTTTGTGAGCCCTGAAGACAAAGGTCCGTCCACATTCATGCCATCCTCTGCGCTACCTTGCCTGAGATGAGACATAGGTGGGGGGGGGGGAAATGAAAAGAGAAGAGAGAGAAGAGAAGAGAGAATGTATACAGGAGGCACAGGAAACAACCTTTGTTAGATAATGGCTGGGATCAGGATGGAGGGAGCAAGAAGCACTGACAAGCAGAGCTTCTCTGGCTGGGGTGTGGGTGTCCCTGTGGAGGGTTGCCAGTAGAGGGGGCCTGAACAGGGTGGCATGCAGCAAGGGGGACTTTTACATGAAGCTTGTCCTTGGCCACGTGGCTGGGTGGAGGCAGCAGAGCCATAGTCCGGAGAAGGACCACTTTCCCATTCTCCTTCTCTGCCTGAAATTCCAGCTCGTTCCTGCCAAAAACCTGAGCTCCGCTTGACTCTCCATGAAAGCCGTCCCACTCCATCAGGTGGGCCCCAGGAAGGGGACAGATGCCGGGAAGAAACTGGGGCTCAGTTTGGGGTAAGGAAAGGTTGGTGGTGAGAAGGCGAAGTAAAGTACCCCCTCCCTCCCCCGGCAGCCCTCTGAGCTGGGCACGTTCATGTTCCAGTCCTGGCGCCCGTGTCTCTAGCTCCAGACACATGTGACTCAGCCCTGCTGGCCTTGCCAAGCTGTCTAGACCCAAGAGTCTCCCTGTGGAGGGGGTGATCCCACCGCCCATGGGCCGGCTGTTTCCTCACTGGCCTTGGCTGAGCCCTGTGCCCATGCAGCTGTGCACCCCATCCCATTTTGTGCATTCACAGGCACAGCAAATGGGAGGGGGTGCTTGGAGGCTTGTGCCTGAATGCAGCAGTCCTCCGGGCTCCAGGCCTTGTTCTCACTTGTTGGGCCTGGGGGAAGAAGACACACAGCCCTTGCTTCCACTTCCCAAAGGGGCTAGGTGCACTCTCCTGGGTATACTACAGCACACACAGACCTACATGCTCTAGTCACACCTGGCAAACACTGGGTGTACCCTCCGGGTCTTTGCTGGCCCTGGGCCTCAGCTGGGATCCCTGTTGGGATCCCGAACTCAGGCCATCCTCAGTCTGACCTCCTTGAAACACACACATGCACTGGATTCTGCTTGTTTCTTCAAGAGTCTGCATTTGTGTTCACCCACTGCCCTTCTTGGAGAGCTTCAGGGGTGAGAGTGGTAGAGGTGGAGGGAGCCTTGGTCCCTTGAAGGCTGCCTGCGACTGTTCCTGGCTCTGAGCCTGCCCAGCCTGTGTGGGACAGCTCCGCCTTGGGAGGGCCCAAGTCTACTATTCTCTGACAGAAGCAATGGAAGCCAACCTGCCTTCTCCTCCTTTGGTCTCCTCTCATCAATGGTGTTCCCCTGAGGGGGTCCTGGCTAAGGTCCCCCTTGCAGCCTGGGGTCTAACACTAAAAACAACATGAGTGTTCCATGGCTTTCTTGCGCTGATGTCCTCCAGGGCTCCATGTGTCAGTCCAACACTCTAAGGCAAGGAAACCAAGTCCAGGAGTCCAGCTGCATAAATGGAGGGGACTCATGTGCATTCACAGCTGCCAGTCCATTCCTTGCATTATAGGGCCAGTGCCTATCATCTGCTCTTCTTTTCCAACCTATGTTGACACTGACACGTGGCTTAGGTCCTGCTGGGACCCATAGCCAAGTTTTCCTCAATTATGAGGAAAACATGTAATTACACAGGTTGACTCTTGCTTCCTCTAATGCCCAGTTCTGCCTAAGGTCCCCCAGGGCCCCCCTACAAACCTTCCTGCAGGCCTTAAGGTCTTTCAGCTCCCCTAAAATGGGCCTAAGTAATTCATCTCCACCCCTCCTCCCTTACAGAAGTCACAGCCTCTGGACAGGAATGTCCCTAGAGGTCTGCCCGTTCCCATCCTCCATGTCTCTATCTACCTCCCTGGCATGCACACCTTCCAAGACATGTAGCATCCCCCTTCTCCAGCCACATTTAGACAGTCCTTTCTGGAAAAAGTGCTTCCTTGTGTCAAGCTTGATTCTGTTTCCAGAAATTTCTACCATTGATGCTCTATATTCTTACGGAGCAGCCCCATCACCCTCTCTGTTTCCACTCCAGCTTCCATTGGAGGATGCCTGGGAGATGCCATGACTGAGGCCATGTGGGCAGGGAGTCTGGCCCCTGCTGCTGTGGCCTTGGTGCCTCCATGACTTTTGCAGATGGGCTTCAGTTCCCCAGGCCTCATTAATCCCTCCAAGCCCTGCCTGGAGTTGTAGACAACTGCTGAGCTGGGGAAAGGCCTGCTCAGTGCCCTGGCTCCCTGGAACTGGGTGGAGAAGGGGGTTTTCTTCCAGAATACACAGGGGCTGGTTTCTTCTCCATTCCTCAGGAGTAGAGGCTATGTGGAGGGTGGAGGGAGGGAGCCACACTGCCGTGGTTTCTCCCGCCAAATTCCCCAGTCCTAGGAAAGATCCACAGGAAAAACCCACAAGAATTTGAATGTCTGAGCTGGGGTCATGATTGAAATGAAATTTTCTAAAGAGAAAGGAAGAAAAAACAAAATCAGAAAGACAGGAAAAAGTAAAAACCAAACCAAACGAAAACTACAACCGAGAATAACTAAAAGCCCTGTTGACCCTCATTTTCCAGAAGGATTCAAGACAGCATCCTTGTAGAGGCTGGAATGGGGTCTTGAGAAGTACTTTGCCTAGCCCCAAGCTCTGGCCCACTCCCTCCTCCCAGGATCCAGCTGAGAGCTCTCTCTAGTCACTGTGATGACTCCAGCTGCCTGCCAGCAACTTTCCCCGCCGTGTGTGTGTGTGTGTGTGTGTGTGTGTGTACACATATATGTGTGAGTGTGGGTGTGTGAATACATGTGGAAGCCAGAGATCAATGTTGGTTGTCTTCTTTAATTGCTCTTCCCCTTGGTTTTTTTTTTTTTTTTTAAGTTTTGGGTTATTAGCCTTAGCCTTTAACATCTCTACCATCTCTCCAGCCCTCTACATTATATTTTTTGAGAAGGGTCTCTCACTGAACTTGGAGCTCACCAATTGGGTAGACTAGCCAGCCAGAAAGTCTCTTGGATTCTCCTGTCTTCATTTTCCCAGCACTGGGATTACAAATATGCTGCCAAATTGCCAGGCGTGGTGGTGCACGCCTTTAATCCCAGCACTCAGGAGGCACAGGCAGGCGGATCTCTATGAGTTCAAGGCCAGCCTGGTTTACATAGTGAGTTTCAGGTCAGCCGGGGCTACAGGGAGACCCTGCCTCAAAAAGACCAAATACAAACCCACCACCACCACCACCACCACCACCAACAACAACAACAAAACAAATATGCTGACAAGCCTGGATTTTTTTTTTTAACATGGGCTCTGGAGGATCAAACTTAGGTCCACATGGTTTTGCAACAAGCACTGGCTGAATCATCTCAGCAGACCCCTGCCTCTTTCTATTTTTGAGACAGGATCTCATGTGCTTCAAGCTGGCCTGGAGCTTACTATGTAGCTGAGGATGGTCTTGAACTCCTGATCCTCCTACCTCCACTTCCAAGTGCCTTATATCTGACTTCTCCTCAGCTCTTAATGTGCCCTCATGAATCCTCTTTGAGGAGATAGCAGTACAGTGCACAGAGGAGGGACATGCTGACTTCAATGAACTGTTGGTGGATTTTGGCTCCTGGGCACCAGCCACCCTTCAATTCCTTTTGGCCTTATCCAATCAGCTGATCTCCAGGTTGGATGATACTGAACTGGGGCTTTGGAATTTTGGGGAGGAAAGGCTGACCAATACCACTCCAAATGTATTGAGTTTTGGAAGCGTAAGATGCAGAGAGATTTGTAAATGGACAGTGCAGGAATGGGCCACAAGAGCATTTACAAAAGTAAAAGATATGCTGGGGGAGGTGGGGTCCAGCATAATGATAATAGTGAACATTTACAGGATGCTTTCTACCTGCCAAGTGATGTCGTGGGAATTTTATAGAAATTACTGTCTCTTATTCTTATAGCAAACCAGTGAGGTAGGTTGCACTCATTTATCCTACTAGGTAAGGACAAGGGAGGTACAGAGAGGTTAGGTAGCTAGTTCGAAGTTAAACGGTTTTCTGGGTGTGGTGTGTCATCCCAGCACTCTGGAGGTTGGGTTAGGAGGGCCACAAGTTTGTGGCCTGCCTGGGCTACATAGTGAAACCTGCCTCTAGAGGCAACAGATAACAAAACCCCTCAACTCCCCCCCCCCCCAAAATTATATAGCTAGTGAGTGGCAGAAACAGACAACAAAAAGAAAAACAAAAAAACTACACAGTCAGTGAGCGGCAGGGCCAGATTTGACTATAAGAACCTTCTCTCTGCCTTAGCGTGAGCAAAGGAAACAGAAGATAGAACTCTGAGTTAGAAGGTGAATTCTTCAAGTCTTTTACCGTTCTGGGGACCATAGTCTCAGCTAAAGCGAAGAATCCGAACGTGGTAGGAGCGCCCTCTTCTGGACGAGCCTGATGTCTAGGAGTCCGGAGCATCTGCCACCAAGAGGGGCTGCGTACAGAGCTAGAGGTAGCTTCCGGGTGCCTTGCTCGCCCCGCCCCTCTCTAGCCCCGCCCCAGTCAGCTCCACTTTTGCTCCGTCCCACTCCGCCCCTGCCTCCAGCCCCGCCTCCGTCTCCTCCCCCTTCGCCTCCGTGTGGTAGTAAGACGCGTGAGCAGGCAGTGGGCGGAGGCGCAGGCCAATGGGAAGACGAGAAGAGGAAGAGGGTGGCCCTCAGGAGCTACCGGCTGACGGGTGGCCCCGCCCCTCTGCGCGGGGACCAGTGGGAGGAAAGGGCACGAAAGTGACGTGTGATTAGTCCAGCGGCTGTGACCAGAAAGCTGGGGGCGTGAGCGGTCCTGGTTCAGAGCGTGAAACATGGCGGAGCAGAGTGCCTCTGGCGGCGGCGGCTCGGGGGGCAACTACTGTGAGGACGAGGGTGACGACCACGTGCTCAAGGCGGCTGTAGAGGTGTTCGAGAAGCTGAAGGTACTGGAGACCAGGGGAGCCCCTGTAGGTGGAAGACCCAACAGGGCCTGGGCCCAGGCCTTCTAGGGGCTTGCTACAGAAGTTTGCGACGCCACAGGGCCTCAGTCTTGGGTCCCGGCTGCACCCTGTGGTCCCACAAGAGGGAGGCTTGTGGCGCATCGCTTTGCTCTTTGGGGTTCCCCAAACCTCTGCTCATGCCTTTCCCATAGAACTTTGCGAGATGGGGGCAGGGAACTTAGAGCAGGTGTAGAGATGGAGGATACAGGCCCCAAAGTCCAGGAGCTGAGGGGGATTACGTTTGGGGGACGAATAGCCGAGCCCATTGCCACTTTGTTGGTCAGAGACAGGATCTCCAGGTACGATTGGGGGGGAGGTCCACGCAGCAGTGAGGAAATGACCCTATGAAGTCAGGGAGCTATCCCATTTGAGCCCAGGCCCGTTGCTCCCCATACTAATACCCGTCTGATCTCCCTAGTCCCAGGCTCAAGTATATTCCTACTTCTGTGGCCACAGAACCCAGAGGGGGCACACTTAAAAGCAGTGCGGCAGCAGGTCACAAGAGATCGGTGAGCAAGGATGAGGAACTTGAACTTTTGGCAAGATGGAAGGAAAGCCCAGGGGATCGTGCTAGCGGCGCCCCCCCCAATGAACACAAGCTGACAAATTCACTGCCACTCTGTAGTGACAAGCTTTCTTCTGACTTTTCTTTACCTTGCTCAGGGTCTAAACTGCCCCTTCCTCGATGGTCTATATATCACAGAACCAAAAACGATTCTGGAGCTGCTATGTAGGCCCTCGAAGTACCGACTGGACATAGTGGAATGGATGTGTATACGGTAATGTGCTGTTTTCTTCCTTTTCCATGGGGGTGTCTCCTGGGTGATATATGTCCTTTCAGAGCATTCCATAACCCAGTCAGCCCCAGGAGAGCAGCTGCTTAGTTAACACTGCTGGCTGCAGCAGAGCTGTGATTACCATCTGCTCTACGAGCACCTTATGATCAGGGACATTGCCCAGAAGCCCAGGAACAGAAACTAGCATTCTAGATTGTTCTCCTTCCCTACCCAGTTTGCGAAGAACCAGAGTTTTCTTCTAAGTACATCCTGAAGCCTAGACACTGGTTGCAGTTCATCCCATTCAGTCACTGTGTCCTTTCCCACCGCACTGGGTCAGCAGGTCTAAGTTCTGGGGACCAGGCCACCACCATGCTGATGGCAATAGAGGGTAGAGTTAAGTCTCCTCTGGAAAGAACCTTTTGCTATCTGTGGGGCGCCTGCTCCTGCCCCTCGTAGCCAGAGCTCCTAGTTAAGGGGCCTTGGGCTCCTAGTTAGGTCCTTGAGCTGGTAAGAGGGTGGAAGCATGTTCCCAGGGCCTCAGAGCCAAACCAGGCATGGAGCTCAGCACTGGATAGGCCTTTCCTACTGGGTGGGAGGTGGTGGAGGACTTCTTATTTGCAGCTATGTGTGGAACCAGTTCTACCCAGCTAACAGGTCTCTCAAGCCAGATGCTTACTGAGGAGCCTCATTGTTATGCTTATCTGTGTGCCACCCCCAAGGCCAGGGCTGCACAGCTGAGTGACCACAGCCACTTTCACAGCAGGAACCTTCAAGTGTCTCAAAGCAGGGCTAAGCAAGGCTTTTCTACAAAGAGCCAGCTACTGTTGGTCTCTGTCTCTTCAGCTTGATCCCGCTAGGGTAGCTGTTACAAAATCATCTGTAAACAGCACTCATAGGAATGGATGGGGTGCTGTGGCAATAACTTTTTTTTTTAAACCCAAACTGGGGGCCTATGTTTGGGCTAACCCCAGCTTTCAAGTGTGAATTAAACTTTTTGAAAAGTGTAAGATGACCCTCTCTGGAAAGAGCACAGTGTTTATTGGTGTTTATTAATGGCAGAGGCAACCATTTTCCCTCATTGCATACTCTGCTGTGTTGGTCACTGCCCAGAAATATGCGGCTCTGGAAATACCCAAGGGAAAGCCAGCTTTTGACCCCAGCCAGCTTGCACTCCAAGAGTAGAGCCCAATGGGAGGGGAGTGCGCCTTGGGGACTGAGGCCGCCAAGGTGGCCACAGGATTTCTTGAAAGGCGTTACCACGGCCAGCCAGACTGAACAGGAATGAGACAGTGACTAGTGTGCTGGGGCTGAGTGGGAAAGAACTCCCCAGTAGTCCCTACCCAGGCTAAGACCTCAGGCTCCAAGCTCTCCTATGGATGGCCTTGTTCTTCCTTTCTTGTGCACCCACAGTTTTTCTCTTGTGAGAACTTTCAGTATTTACATTCATATTTCTGAGGGAAATTTTCTGAAGTATTTTTCCTCTAGTAATTCAATGAAATCAAATGAACCATTTAAAAGTGGCTTTTCACTGGCATTTTGCATATGTACAAGTAATTCACTGTTTAGAGATAGGTTTTGTAGGGTTGGTGGTGAGGAGTCACATCTTGACTGACTTTGCTGTTTCTCTGCAGGGCCTGTCCGTCCTTCCAGGACAAGTTCAGCTCACTGAAAGGAGCCTCGATGGATGTGAAAATCCAGGGTAGGTCTGTTTATGGGAGTGTGGAATTTGCTGGTGAATTCTGGGCACTTCTGAGCTTGGTCACAGCTTCTTACCAAGTTTTCATTATCAACTAATCTTGTATTCTGGATGGTGGATATTGCTAGAGTCTTCCAGAATTAGGGCCTCTGCGGCATGCTGAGTGGGAGACTTCCCAAAGGGATCCCATAGTACATTGGTCTACCACAGCACTGGTAGGTAGAGAGCGTGCTTCTTTCTGATGTCAGACATCTGTTTTCCAGTCTCATTGCTGTGTATACACAGTCTGTCTACATGGTATTCCCAAGAGTACCCTGATTGCTTTCTGATGGAGCTTGCATTGTAACTACTTTTGTTTGATGGTATCTTGGCAAGAAACAGCCCTTAACCCTGTGTGAATGTTAGATAAAAATGAGTGAAAATACCATCTTTGTAAGTTGCAAGCTTTTTTACCTTCCCAGTGGTATCACCAAACGCTGATGGAATTTCAAAGGCTACGTTTTCCACTGGCCTATGTCTGTTTGAACCACTGCAGGATGGGTGAGCTGGACTCTGGAGCACTGTACTGTGCACCAGCTGGTGCTGCCAAATCAGTTATCTGGGGAGAGTTGTCCCTGTGGCTGAAGTGGGGTGCTGGGTCTCAGACTAGTTGTGCCTTTATTCCATTGCTCTTGTATTTCCTGCTGTCATGACTCCTTCAGAGACTGAGTTATTTGGTGCACATGGGCAAACCCTGGCCCTCAGTCTGGCCTTGCCCAGCCATAGCCTTGACTTCACTCAGGAAATTGAGGATGAAGGCCCCAGTTTTGCTTGCCTCCTAAGAATGTGCTGAGTGCTTGTTCAAGTAGAAGTAGGAGAAATAAGGACAGGCAGGGGTTAGGATCGTTCTTCATTTGGCTGACGTGTGAGGCAGTGGTCTAGAATCTGGGGCATAATAGTGGGGTACAACACCCTCATGGAACTTACATGTTAGCTGATGGGTGACACAGATAATGAACACAGAAGTATATAAATTTCTCAGTGTTGAGGTGTCAAGAAGGACTATAAGCTGCCAGGTAAGAGCAAGGTCTTGCCTAGGAGGAGCTGGAGGAAGGGTAATCTTGTTGACAGAAAATGGCAGAAAGTGGGAAACAGAGCCAGGCTGATGGCAGGAGTAGTATCCATGGCAAGGGGACAGCAAATGTAAAAGGACTGAGGTAGGCTATGCTTGGCAGCTTTGAGGAAGGGTGGAGAGCAGATGTGACTGCGATAGAGGGGATAGTGAGGTCAGGGAGAGCAGGAGGGGATAGGGCAAGGGCCAGGTAGGCCTTGTAGGCCATGGAAGGTCATTGGCTTTTACTCCAAGGAAAGCTTTGCCATCTGTTGGGTTCATTAGTCTCCCCAGGGCCACTGTGGTGAGACTAGGAATGCCCCAGCAGAGGCAGGGACAGCAGTGTGGCTCTTGCAGTGACTGAGGTGAGAGACTGGGGAGTGGATAGAACTGTGTGCTGGGAAGTTTCTGGATTTTCTGGGAGGAAGACAGGGTCAGGAGGACATGGGGTTAAGGGCTGTGGGTGAAGCAGGCTAGCTTACGGGGCATAGTGTCATCTGCAGAGTATTCCCAGGGTCACAGAATTTTCACACAGATGCTCTGCTCACTTCTGTTGAATCTTTCACAGCATGTGCTGTGCAGTTCTGCTGAGGCCTAGGTCTGCCTGTGAGGAGATGAAGGCTCTGCCTCAATGCTGGCACTGGCTCTACGAACTGACCTTTGTTTATATACTTGACACCTACTCAACAATGCCCTGGATGCCCTGGAAGGTGTGGCTGGGTGTTTCCTGTCCCCTGAAGGCCCTCAGACTCCTAATTTATAAAATACCGCCCAGACTCACCTCCAAGATAGCAGGGAAGGAAGCAATGAGAAAGCTTTGGAATATGGACAAATGCCCTGGGTCCTTTTGATTTGGCTTCATGAGGTCTCTGAGAGGGTGGCATGTGATGCAATGTTGGAAGCCCCCTGACCTCTGGTAGCTTCTCAGGCAGCTGGCCAGCTTCCATCCCATGTACACAGAGTATGGTGGTCAGCCTGCCCTTCATTTCTAGGTCTGGAAACTAATACCCAGAAAAAGGCAGATTGGGTACAGGCCTTATAGCAAGAGGTAGCTCTGGCACCATGGTGTGCCAGCAGCCTCCTCATCCACAGGAGATCTTCTGTGCCTAGTCTGGTCTCAGAATGTGGGGCTGTCCTCACCATTGTGAAGAATAAGCCTCATCACCGTATGTGCTCCAAGCTCTGGGATGTCTCGTGTCCACCTTATGTTTGGGTGGGTGTCTGTAGTGACAAGGTCTTTGTGTTCCAACAGAGATGACGAAACTAGGCCATGAGCTGATGCTATGCATGCTGGATGACCAGAATCTTCTGATGGTAAGAGAGGACCTTGTCCCTGTAGAGGAGATATCTACTGTCTTTCCTGGCCTGCTGAGGAGATAGAGGGAGCTTCTGGCCCCCAAACCTGCATGCCTGGCAAGACTGTTGTTCTAAACATCCCCATGTTAAACACTGCCTGGAATCCCTTAAGGTGATGGACAGAGTGGAGAGTTCTGCAGTGGAGGTACAAGCAGATGTCTGGCTCATGATGACCAAAGGGACAGAGTGCATCCTGTCCTCATTTGATGTTGTCATACTTGTGATGCCTAGTCCCCCAGTAGATGCTTTATATACCATTCATTGTCACACCTACACTTGGCAGTTGCTGTTTCTTAGCTCTGTTTCCCAGACTGGTGACAGGCACTTAGTTGAGGTCACATGGTGGCAGAACCAGGCCTCCACTTAGGCCCCTGGCTCCCAAGCCCATGTGTTTTCCCCTGTCTGAGGGATTCTATATGAAGGGGCCCTGATCTAGTCAGAGAAATCTTGTAGTCAAGTCAGAGAAACCCTACCCTACGCTTAAAATGTCTGAATTTCGCATAATTGTTTCAGATTGTTTGACTGTTGCAGATGACAGGGCTGTGGACAGTTTTATGTGTGCTTATGACTGACCTCTGCTTTCAGATATCTTAGGTATATGGCTAGGAGTAAAATTTGCTATGTATGTGGTGATCCTATATTGACGTTTTTGAGGAACTAGCGAACAATTTTTCAGTGGGGCTATGCTCCATTGTGCTGTTGAGTCTGTCCAGTGAAGGGTTGTTTTTACATAGAGCAGTTTTAGGTTCACAGCAAATGTGAGCAGCAAGCACAGAGAATTCTTCCTGCCCCCACATGCCAGCCTCGCTCACTATCAGCACATTTGTTACCTCTGTGAACCAACACTGCTGTCTTTATCGCCTGTAGTCTATCCAGTGGCCTTTGCTTCTCTGGTGCTTTCTGGTTCTGAAGGCCGCTACATGGTTCCTTTATCTTCTGGCTCTCTGCTGATGCTGTATGTTTTTTGTTTCCTGTTCCAGTTGCTTACTCAGGCATTTTTCTAATGGCTGGTTTAAACTGTCAGTTCGTCTGCCATCTGTGTAATCCCGTTGGCATCTGATGAGCCTATTTTCTAGTGCAAGTTGAGGTCTTTATCATTTTTCACATCTCTGGTGATTTTGGGTTGCATCCTGGACATTCTGGCTGTTCTTTGGATCTTGTTATCTTCTGTGGCGAGTAGTGACGGGTGCATTCTAGCAGGCCCTAGGCTTGCTTTGCTTTCTGCAGCTGGCTCTACTCCTCTCTGGCCTACAGTTGCTCACCTTCTTCTCCTCCATCCTGCATGTGTGCCACCCAGTGGTCAGCCTGGGATTTGGGCCTGGGTAATCAGTCAGGTGTGCACACATAGAGCAGCTCCAGGCTTTTTAAATCCGTTTGTGGGGTGTCTCCATATCGTTCCTCTGTGCCATCTGACACTTTCAGTTCCCTGGGCCACCCCTTTTCAGTCCTCTATCTATGAATTACCTACTTGTATGACTGAGAGGGCAGAGAGGAAAAGCCAGCAAGAGGCTCACGGGAAGATGCTCATTGTTAACAGGAGCAGTGCAACTCAGATGGGATCACCACACCACATTTACCAGGGTGGCCAGGGTTACAAAAAGGAAAATGGCACATGTTGGCAAGGATGGGGAGACATGGGAACCCTCATGTATTGGTTGTAGGGACATGAAACGGTACAGCTACTGTGGAAGGCCATTTGGTCATTCAAACACGGAGCAATGATATGACCCAGCAGTTCTAGGATTTCAAATACATGCAACCACAATTCCTGTTGTCATAATGGCCCCAAAGTAGAAATATTCCTGATGCCAATCAGTTGGTGAGTGGATGAAGACATTTTTTTTTTGGTCTTTTTGAGACAGGGTCTCCCTGTAGCCCTAGCTGGCCTGGATTCGGCATGGTGACCAGACTGGCCTCGAACTCACAGAGATCCACCTACCTCTGCCTCCCGAGTGCTGGGATTAAAGGCGTGTGCCACCACACATGGCCAGATGAAGACATTTTCAACAAGAAAGAAGAAGCTGCTGTTACATGTGATAATATGATTTTTGAGGACATTATGCTAAGTGAAAGCAGACAGACATGAAAGGTCACATGGATGTGGTCTGTTCAGAAGAGGAGACTCCACAAAGAAAGCTAGGAGCGTAGTGATTCCTAGTGGCTAGGGAAGGGGCCAATGGGAAATGACTGCCAGTAGGTGTTTGGGGGTGATAGAGCTGTTTCTAAAATGTGACTATGGTGATAACTGCTCAGGGCTGTGACTATCCTAATAACCAAAATTCATGGACTGAATTAAATCTTAACAAAAAATATCAGTGCAACCAAGTGAAAAGAGGACGTCTAGGAGAACAGCAAGTGCAAAGGCCCTGGGGCGGCCTGTGCTTGATGTGTTCAGGAAACTGCCAGCATGTGGTTAGGTTGGAGCAGAGTGGAAGGGTAGGGAAGGTTGTAGAGTTGGGGTGAGTGGATTGTGCTGGACTTTGTAGGCTAGGATAGGCCTTGGTGTGTAGGGCGTAGTTGTGGCCACTGGGAAGCTTGGACCTGAGGAGCAGTGGGAGCAGGAGTATGGCAGTGACAGCTGTGGCTAAGGTATGAAGATGGAGTGGGGTGGGGGTGGCTACTAGGATACATGTTGGCAGGTTGTAACAGTGGCCAGGCATGTAAACTGATGGCTTATGTGGCAGTTCTAGTAGGAAAAGTGGGGGAGTGGCTGGATTCAGCCAGACCTTCTCCATTTGCTGACAGGTAAGGCAGAGATAGGCAGAGGTATCCTGGGACATGGTGAGATCTGAGTCCTTGTGAATTCATTCTTCAGACCTTTCTAGAGTGTCCTTGTTGGGTCTGGCCCTTTGCTGGGAAACAGAGGAGACAGATGGGGTATGGTGTTGTGATGGGCTTCAGCGATGCGGCCGCAGACCAGCCTGCTCAAGACCAGCACTGGGGCCAGTGAGGACCCTTGAAACTCTTGAGGGCTGGGTCCTGGTTATCCAGAAGGAACCTTGGTGGGCTTTGGGGAGCTTACAGGGAGACACAGACCAAGACGGCACGGGGCAGTCTGTGATGATGGAACTCTAAGCAGACTGCCTAGTCATTCCAGGCCATTTGGTGGGGGTGCTGCTGGAGCCAGCTTTTCACTGAGTGGAAATGGTAGACGGGGGTGTCCTAGGTCACTGGTGAAAGCTTTGTGAGGTCCTGAGTGACAGCCAGTTTTGTGTTTCAGTCTGGGCTGTTTCCTTTTTGGACAATGTGCTGCCTTCTATCTCAGATTGCTCTGTAGGTGTATTTCTTGAGCAGATGGGGAGAATGAGTCAACAAGAGAGAGTAAGAAGGTCCTAGAAGCTAGTGGCACGTTGAGGACACAGCTGGAAGCTTTGGAGGCACTGATCATGCTGACTCAGTCACACAGGTGGCAGCTGGGTCTCTTGGGAGCTCTGAGACTTGGTACCAAAGAACAGGAGGCCCTGTTGCCCCCAAGTCTATTCCTCAGCAGAGGCCACTTAGCATTCCCTTCAGACTTTGCATTTAGCACCAGATTCAGTGTTTGTGCTTCTCACAGTTTTTTTTATAAGTTCCTGGCAATGCTGGTTGAGGGTCTCCCACTTTGCTGTCCTGAGAACAGTGTGTCCCAGGACGGGGCAATAAGAAGGAACACTCAAAAGATAGGCCTCACTTTCTTTCTGATGCCCTGCTTACACGGGGCTTTGTGCAGCAGTCATAGAGTGTCTGGTCCTGGGGATCAGTGACTTTCCAGAAGGAGGCAAGCCTTGGGCTTCTGGCTGGGCTGCTCCCCACAAGCATCCTATCACCTGGGTGGATAGGCAGATAGGAGACCAGGTCAACCCTGTATGAGTTGCTTCACTGAAGCCTTTGGCCTTCCAGATGGAACTTCTACACCCCTGCTAGAGAGCAGGCCACCTCCAGGCCTCATGTTCAAGTTGGGGTCTCTCTGTCCCCTTTGGTATCAGTAACCACATATTGGTTAATCTGTGCCATTCTTGGCTAGGAGGGATTGACTGAGCATAACAGATGTTGGCCTGGAGGTGTCCCTGAGGAATGGACCATCATCAGGTCCCTGTGAACTCTGTTCTGCCTTAGTGGGCCCTGCTGCATGCCAACCACCCATCCAATAAGCCCTTCCAATGGTTGTGTGACAAACTCACACTGTAGTATCTTTCAGTACCATTTTTCAGAGTGTGCTCCCTGGCGTCATTGGGTTTGGGTACTGGAGCTCAGCAAGGAGCACTTGATGGTAGAAGCCTGAGGATGCCAACCTGAGCCAGTTCAAGAGGCTACCAATAGGGGGGCAGGGACAGGGAAGAGGAATTGATAGGCCAGGCCTCCTCTTGCCACTGGTCATGACAAGGGCAGCATAGGATCAGACACCTGGAGCATCTGGCCAGGCCTGGCCTGGGTCTAGTGCTGAATGTGTGTGGCTTTCTTTGCCAGGGCCAGGAGCATCCCGAGAAGCAGCTGAACTTCATGGACCAGTTGCTGGATGCAGTGCGGAGCTTAGCTGCTGGATGCTCCAGTAGCTCTAGGTAAAGGTACCAATGGCCCACTTGGGTCCGTTTGACAGCTGGTATTGGTGTTAGCTATGGAGATGGTTGGGATCGTGGGAGATGTGTCTTCAAGTTGGGGTCTCTCTGTCCCCTTTGGTATCAGTAACCTCATATTGGTCCTGGAATCAGAAGAAGTACAGACAGCTTTCCCTGCCGCCATTGTGTTGGGGTTGGGCTTGCTGGACAGGGTCCAGGCAGTGGACCAACAAGGGATAGTTGTGTCTTCAGCTTGTAGTTGCACTGCGGGCCTCCGGGGAACCAGTTCAGGTGTATAGGAGAAAAGTGAGTAACTGGGTGCCTGTGGACAAGGGCTTGTCAGAGGGGACAAAGCAGGTGGCGGCTGGGAGAGATACCGGCAGTGGAGCTCCCTGTCCTTTGGCCTGAACTCTTTTGCTTCTTTGGGAGACCGAGGGCTTACTGGCCCAGTGTGCTGGCTGGTGACAGTATAGCCAGGGCCTGGCCTGCTTTTGCAGCCTGAAGGAACACTTTGAGGATACCACAGAGAAGAATGAGGCCTTGCTGGGGGAGCTTTTCTCCAGCCCCAACATGTGGAAGATCCTGAAACCTGAGAGTGACCCATGGCCCCTGGACATTCAGTCTGTTCTCGACAAGCCAAGTGATGACCTGCCAAAGTAGGTGCCCATGAGGGCTCTGGGCCCAGCACCTTCCATTCCCTATTTGCTTCTGTCCCCTAAGGCGGACCTTACCATGGTGCACTGTCCACAGCAGCAGCAGAGAACTGGCAGCGTCCCTCCTTCTTTTCCTGTAGGGCTGGCACTTCTGCCGAGTCAGAGGGGGAGAAGGTGGCAGACCTGGCCAGGCAGCTGCAGAGTAGCGCTACCAAGCTTCAGACACTCCGGAACCAGGTGAGGGGCACTAACTCTGGGAACTGTAGGAGTTAGGGAACAGGCTCTGCTGAATTCTAGGGCAAGGGATACCCCTCCCCAACAGCATGGTATGCTTGTGAGACTTCAGCGAGATGGCAGGTACTCAGTCCACAGGAGTGGGGAAGTAGGTGCTGAGGATCAGAACATGAAAGAATGGGCCTCAGGTGGCAGCCATGCACCAGGCTTGAAGTCTGTGCCTTCACATGCCTTGTCATACTCAGCTTTCTTAGCATCCATTGGTCACGCTGTTTGACTGGAAACTGAGGTTTGTGTAACCATTAGCAGGGCTGAGGCTCCATTCAGCCCCCCTGTCTCCTCAATGGAGGCTTCCTTGTCAACCTGTCCATTGTGTTATATGGGTTGACTGGGCATGGCGGCATCGAGTGACCATCCCCCTTGGTTTTGCAGTGCTTTGCACAGTATAAAGCAGGAAGCAATGCCAGCACCATAGACCAGAAGCTCCGCCTGGTAATCTCTGACTTCTACCAGCTCGTTTTGGCTTTCCTGCAAGTCTACGATGACGAGCTGGGCGAGTGCTGCCAGCGCCCACTACCCAGCGTGCACCCGAGTGGCCCCATTGTCCAAGCTGTGTATCAGACTCTGGCTTCCTGTGGCCAAGTAAGGCCCCCTTCTTTCCCTGCTACCCAGCACTCCAAGAGCACATGCCTACCAGGCTAGAGCTCATCATCATCCCCTGATGACAGGAATAGGGGTGGAAAAGGGCTTGAGAGGACTTGGCCAGGATACCTTGAGGCAGTAGTGTAGTGGGCTCTGAACCTGGGATCTTTGGCAGGTGAGGACAGATATTTCTGATGCCTTGGGGAAGTGATGACAGCTGATGTGGACATTGTTGCCAAGAGAAGGTTTTCCGCTGTCACCTCTCTTCCCTGTTAGGAGGCTCCTGCATTGGCTGCACTGGGTTCTCCTCCAGTCACTATGGTACCCTGGACCTAGCTCCTATGCTCATGTTGGTCTTGCTCTGTTTTTGTATTATGCCTAAACATCCCGAGATGCCTCCAGTCTTATATCTGGCCACATACCAGGCCAGACAGATGAGATGGGAGGAAACCACCTATGTGACTAAAGCCATTGAGTGAAAGTGACTCACTTCACTGTTGCATGTTTTTGGTTCTCAGAGGTTGGCCTCAGCAGCTAGGCTTAGTTCCCATCACTGTAGCTGCCGTGTACGCAATTCTGACCTTGGCTCATAGTGCCGTAATGTTGATTTCAGATTGTAACAAGAAAGTCTGAGACTTCCCAACCTCTGGACAGCCTGCCCATGAGACTGCCTCAGCAGGGGGAGGGTTAGGGCGTAGCTCAGCACACAGGCACTTTCTTCATGGGACGTTTGCTTTCCTACCCTGCCTGCCATTTGCTTTGCTCAAGCTGGGATAATATGAAGCGCTACCCTGCACTAGGCACTGAAGGTTGCCAAAATAACATGACAGCATGGAGTCCCACTGAGTCAGAGGGAAGGAGACCTGGGGTTGAAGAGCAACTCTCTAGCTGCTAGTTCTGTCTCTTTCTCTTGGCTGTCTTTCGGGGGTTTAGTGGAAGCTTGGAAGGAGAGCAAGAGATGCCATCTCTAGGTGACACTGGCCTCACTGAGTGTCCACACGTCTTCTCCTTCATTGGCAGCTGTTGAGAGCAGTCATGGAGGTCACTGACACCTCTGCGGAAGCTATGGAGGCAGCAAGGAGACAGCAAGGCGAGCTGAACTACTGTGGCAGTAACAACTCCGGAATGAGTCTAGGTATGTTGCCAGGGACGAGGAACAGCTGTCCCAGTGCCCACGTAGTGCAGGCTCTGCCTTTTCTCTCTGTGCTACGCCAGCCCTCTGGGAATGCTAGGGGCTTGCCTCTTTCTTTCCTTCCTTCCTTCCTTCCTTTCTTTCTTTCTTTCTCTCTCTTTCCTCCTTTCTTCCTTTTCTTCTTTTTTCTTCTCTCTCTCCCCCTCCTTCCCTCCCTCCCTCCTTCCCTCCCTCCCTCCTTCCCTCCCTCCCTCCTTCCCTCCCTCCCTCCTTCCCTCCCTCCCTCCTTCCCTCCCTCCCTCCTTCCCTCCCTCCCTCCTTCCCTCCCTCCCTCCTTCCCTCCCTCCCTCCTTCCCTCCCTCCCTCCTTCCCTCCCTCCCTCCTTCCCTCCCTCCCTCCTTCCCTCCCTCCCTCCTTCCCTCCCTCCCTCCTTCCCTCCCTCCCTCCTTCCCTCCCTCCCTCCTTCCCTCCCTCCCTCCTTCCCTCCCTCCCTCCCTCCCTCCTTCCCTCCCTTCTTTCCTTTCTTCCTTCCTTCCTTTCATTTTTTTTGAGACAGGTCTCACTCACTATATAGCCATGGCTAGCCTGGAACTTGCTATGTAGCTTAGGTTTCCCTTGAGCTCTGGGTGCTCGTCCTGCCTCAGCCACCTGAGTACTGGTTTGACAGGCTTGCAACACCATGTCTGGCTCCCTGTTAATGACTGTGCCTGTGTTTCAGTAAAATTTCATTTTTACTTAAATGGACTGTGGTTTGTTGATTCTGCCACATGGTGCTCTGTCATACCCCGTGTCACACTGTGCTGTAAGTGCTCTAAAACTTCATTCCACTCCTCCTGGACACAGGGCTCATTTCAGTTGACAATCCTCCTATCTCAGCCTCCTGAGTATTGGGATAACAGCTGTCAGCCATCACATCAAGGAAGTTTGAGGTTCTTACAGATACCACTGCTGAGTGTTCTTGAACTTGTCTCCCTGTGTATACACGTGCCAGTTTCTATGGGATGTCTTCCTAGGAGTAGAATTCATTCTGTCATGTTGCTTGTATCCTGTGTGACCTTGCACATGCCCATCAGCACTTGTCGTGGACTAACTTTGTAGCTGATGCCTTTGGTAGATGTTTTGCTGCTTCTTTATGCTGCATTTCTGATTACTGACAGGGTTGGACTTTTCATACATTTATTGCTCATTGATGATTTCCTTTTTGTGAAGGGTCTGTTGAAGTCTCTATTTAGTTGGATTGTCTTTTTCTCATTGACTTGCAGCTGTTTTTATATATGGTAGATACAAGTCATCAAATGCTTAATATTGCATGTACATCTTCCACGATGTGACTTATCTTTTCATAACTTTTGTCTAGTCTTTTGTTGCATAATTTACATGTTATCAAATGTAGCCATAATCCCTTTATGGATGGCATCTTTTATGTTTACTACAGAATGTATTCCCACTCTGATATACCACAGTTGGCAATCTTCACAGACTTGATTTTTGTGTAGCATGGATACATGTCTGGCCCAGTACCACTTAACAGAAACACACTCTTTCCCCCATTGGTCAAGTAAGCCATCACCTCTGTTAGTCATTAAGTATCAGGACTACATAAGTGGATATCTGGGTTCTCTATTCTGTTTCTCTCTTTTTTCCCCCGTCTTTGCACCATAGAGATCAGAAAATAAATAGCAAAATAAATCCATAGGAAGATGGTAAATGTAGTTTCCCTTTCCTTCTCTCTCCCTTCTTCCCTCCCTTCCTCTCTCCCTTCCACTGGAGATGAAATCCAGGCCTCACATGTGTTATACAAGTGAGGTACACCCCAGCCCTATTTTAATAACAGCTTTACTGAGCTATAATTTGCTTAACATAAAATTCACCCTTTCAACAGTGAGCAGTCCAGTTTTTTTCTGTTTTACGATATTCAAAGAGTTGCTCAAGCATCACTACTAAGTCCAGAATATTTTTATCACCCCCTAAAGAAGGTCTGTACCATTAAAACCTCTCTCCTGTTTCCCCCTAGTCCCTGATAGCCACTGATCCAGTGTTTATAGATTTGCTTCTTTGGGGCATTTTCCTATAAGTGGAGTTGTACAGTATGCGGCCTTTTTGGCTGGTCTTTTTTTCATTGAGCACAGTGATTTCAAAGTTCATTCATATGTTGCATTTCTTTTTATGACTGATAGGGGCCTGCGACATTTCTGTTTATGAATTCATTTATTGATAGACTTATAGGTTATTTCTTTTAGCTGTTGTGAATAGTGCTTTTAGATTCTTTGTGTGCACGTGTTTTGATTCTCTTGGGTCTAAAGACCCAAGTTGAGTCATTTGGTGGCTGTATGTTTAAACTGAACTCTATTTTCTTATTTATTTTCTCACCACTTCCCCTTTGGATCATAGCTGACAGCTTAAAACAATCTGGTGCCAAATTAATTTTAATAGTATGTGAAACCTTTTTGACTGGACATGGAAGAGCACGCCTTTAATCTCAGAACTCCAGAGGCAGAGGTAGGCAGATCTCTGTGAGTTCAAAGCCGCCTGGTCTACATTGTGAGTTCCAGGCCAGCTGGGGCTACATAGTGAGACCCTGTCTCAAAAAAAAAGTTTTGCTCTTATATAACCTTTGTCCTGTCCCTTGCGCAATTTTTTAAAATATACATGGCAACTTCATGTATTGAATATCCATCAACATGGATTTATAATTATTGCTTCATGCAGTTGCCTTCTGAATTAGAGGAGAGTTATAAACAAAAATACACTCATTTTTGTATTTACCTAGGGTTTTACTTTTATTGGAGTTTATGATTTTGTTAGTGGTTCTTTGAGACTGTGTAGCCTTGTGTGACCTGAAACTCACTATGTAGACTAGGCTAGTCTCCTCAGGTGTGCAGTGATCCTCCTGCCTCTGCCTCCCAGGTGCTAGGGTTTACAGGTGTGTATCACCACACCTATGTTTGGAAATCTATATTGATATGGGTTGATAAGTCACTGTCTAGTGTTCATTCTTTTTTTTGTGGGGAAGGTCCACTAGTGACAAAGCCCCTCAGTTTTTGTTGATCTGGGACTGTCTTGCTCTCTCCTTCACAAAAACATTTTAATATAATATCCTTAGCAATTATTTGAGAGTATTATGCATGTATACAATGTATTTTGATCATACCCACTCTTCTCCCAAACTCCTCTCAGATCTATTTCCCACTCCCACCCCTCCCAACTTCATGCCCTTTTGGTTGTTTTTTATAACCCACTCCCAAGACCAATTTGTGCTGTCCATATTTTCCTGGGTGTGGGGCCATCCACTGGACTGCGGTTGAGCTGTGAGAGGGCACATCTTTAAGGAAAACTAACTGTCCCTTTACCAAAAGTTGTGAACTGCCTGTAGCTCCTCACTCAAAGAGTTGGGGACTTTCCCCTCTCCATGCTGGAATGTTGACTGGTTTGATCTTGTGCACGTAACCACAGCTGCCATGAATTCATGAGTGCAACAGTTCTGTCATGCCCACAAGACACTGTTTTGCTGAAGTCCTTCCTAGTCTCTGGCTCTTCGATCTTCCACAATGGTCCCTAAGCCTTGGGGGTAGGGGCTGTGATATAGTTGTCCTATTTATGGTTGAGCATTCCACAGTCTCTTATTCTCTATGCTTTGCCCACTTCTGAGTTCTGCCATCCACTGTACAAAGAAACTTCTGTGAGGGGTCTGATTTTTCCTGATATTTAAAGGATAGCTTTTGCTACTATAGAACTCTTAGATGACAGTTATTTTCTTTCATACTTTCACCAATATATCATCCCACTGTCATTTGGCCTTCATAGCTTTGGTTACAAAACCACTTGTATTCTTATTAGGGTCCTTGTGTGTGACAAGTTTCTTTACTTTCTTATTTTGATAATTCTGTTGGTCTCTGTTTTTTTTTTTTTTACCAGTTTGATTATGTGTCTTTGTGTGAACCATTGTAAATTTGTCTCATTTGGAGCTTTTTGAACTTTCTAGATGTATAGATCCTGTTCATCAACAGTCAAGCAGTTGACAACTCTTCATTCTTTTTCACTTCTTGTTGGCTCAGAGCCTCAGTCTCCTCTGGTTGGCTATGGGGAGGACTCAGAGCTTTGTTAGGATTCTCCTGGGCATTTCCACAGCCCTCGGCACACACACATGACCTTCTAGGTTCCTGGGACTGTACCAGACCTTTTTGGATCCCCTGTGGACAGCTCGTTTCCTAGCCTTTCCTTCCTTCCAAGCTTTTTGATTAGTGTTTTGTTTCCCAGTGCTCTAGCCAGCAGCAGCTAAAACACTTGACTATAATTATTTTCACTGATAAAACCCTAAGTAGTGGCCTTAGAGCACAGCCTCTCTGCCACCTCCCTTTGGGGACTTTTTTCTCCTTGTACTGGGGATTGAACCCAAGGCCTCATACATGTTACATAATTGCTATGCCACTAAACATATCCTAGCCCTCCTCTCCCCACCCCAGCCCCCTTTTTTAACTTTAAATTTTGAGATGGATTTTCACTTAAGTTGCCCAGGCCGGCCTCAAATGTGTGATATGTGCACCTCAGTCTCTTGAGTAGCTAGGCTTACCTACCTGGGATTATAGGCCTGTACCACCTGGCCCTGCTTCTGACCTGTGCTTCCTTGCCTTGTCACTGCTCCTGACCCTGGCTTACACCTGCCACGTGTATACCAGACACTAAGGAATATTTTCTTACTGATTGAGGTGAAAGAGGATCCTTCATTTTAAAATTTATTACAGCATTTACTGAAATCATTACTGTCACTGTGACTCTCACTGCAGCCTGTATAATTGCTATTAATAAATTGTTCATAATCCATGCTATTATTACTGTATAGTGATCATTAATAGTCTTAACAGGGTGCTCTCACTGGTGAGTAGCGCATACTAGTGCTGGTGTGAGCCGCTCCCACCCCCATGCTTTGACTCCCAGTAACCTCAGAGATGTGGAGATAGCTAGTGGAGCAGGACCTCACATGGGGCTCCTGACTCAGCTCTGGGTACGGCTTCCTGATTTGCTTCAAGACAAATTCATAGGCACTAGGTATGCCCAGAAAAAAAGGACCAGTGGCAAATCCACTCCAAAGCCACTTGGATCTTTATTCACTTCCCCTTTCCTACCTGATGTATTGTGGGCACCACCTCAGGCAACTACCTCCCTTGTACCCATGGGAGGTCTGTTTTCTGTGCTGTTTTCCTCCTACTGATCTGGGTGCCAGTACCTGAGCCATGTTGGTGACATGTCCCCAAGTATCAAGTGAGAGCCTTATGTAAAGGACTGTATACCTCCTGGGCTGGTAGTCTTGTGTGAATGGGTGCTGCTAGAAAAATATCAGTGGATTTAGAGGACAGAGTGACCCTGTTGGAACTGAGAGTATGTGAGGGCACAGATAATACTAGCACACGAGACAGGTCAACAGGTGTGGAAGGGGGTGCAGTGAGTTGCTGGACCCACAGGTAGGAACCTTGTAGTGACAGAACAGCCCAAGAAAGCAGTGGAGGCAGGTACCATGCTCATGGAACTAACCAACTAACTGGTATGGTCCCAGGATCCAATAGCTGCCTCAGAAAAGAAGCAGGGGAAACAGTCTGTGGAGAGGGCATAGGTGGCCTGCTCTCTTGTGGAGAAAACAGTGCCAGCTAATAAGCAAAGCAGCTTGTGATGTGACTGGTTGCAGTCCTTACAGAGACCACCTCTCTTGCTTCTGAGGGTCCATGTGTTGAGGGCTGACCCAGCTGCTTCCCCCTGAAGCTGAGTCAACCTGTCAACCTATCCTGCCCTCCACAGAACTCTTAACTCTAGACACCCTCACAGGAAAGAATAGAACCTCCATAGCAGCACCATACCCCAACTCTAGAGGTGCTCCAGAACAGGATTGGGAACAGGGGGACAGAGAACGCGTATCCTGAAGAGAGAAAACCTGGATGCATAGGAAATTTGACCTGGAGAACTGTCAACCAACATGACAATCACATGTGCCTGGACAACTGTAAAAGCCCGGCCAAGAGTAAAGACCAGAAGATGATGATTTGGCAGGCAGGGAGTCTCTAGAAACAAAGAGAAGAGAGATGGGAAAGTAAGCACACAGTACAGGACATAGAAACTGGATCTACAGGAGCTGAAGTGAAACAGACAAGGCTCCCCATTCCAAGACCAGAGCTGGGGGAACCCAAAGGACACAACCCTGGAACCAGCCTGCTGCTATCTACTGTAGTGGGGCCAGGACTTGATAAAGGCAGATTCCACCTAAGGGCAGTCCAGACCCTAGGAAAAATGCTTCTTGGCTATTAGCCCAGGTTCCCCCCAGGCTTGTTCCTGTTAATTCTGTGTGCCCCACAGCTCTAAAGAGTTCAACCGCCAAGCCTCGGATATAGCCTCTAATGGCTAAGTTGCCCCCCCCATTTCTAAGTGCTCCCAGGACTCCTGGACCCTGCTCCACAAAGCTCTGTCCCAAGCTAAGGAAGGGAGGTGTGGGGTGAGAAGGTCACCATGTACCACATATCAAAGTAGAGGGTTGGCCTAGGGGTGGGCAACATAGGCAGCTTCTTCAGTGGCCTCCCTGCAGCAGCTCCAGCCTTCCCAATGCAGCAGGCATCTCCAGGCTGGGGCCAAACCTAGAAGGCAGGGCTCAGTTTAACAAAACCATAACTTTGACTTTTTCCCCTAGTGGGGCTTATTCTGTAACATCACTTGTGGATATTTATATAAAAGTAAGTGTTACAGTGAGATACACACAAAAGTGATTCCTAACACCCTCATGGCAGCTAACAACCATCCTTAACTTTAGGTCCAGGAGATGTGATGCCCTCTTCTGGCCTCTGCAGGCTTTGCATGACATGGGTGCACTTACATAAATGCAGGCAATCTGCTCATACACAGAAAATTGAAATAAATACATCAAAAAAAATTTAAAGTTGTTCTCTGACCTCTACATGTGTATTGGGCCACATGCAGCATGCTTGCATGTGTGTGTATGTGTCTGCGCTCACACACACAGACACACACACACATAACACATGTTAAAACACGCATAACATAATACGTGTTAAAAAACAAGGAAAGCCCAAAGGAAGAATTTGGGCAAAAGCCCCTCATTGGCACCCTGTTATTTTCTGGTCAGGGCCCTGGAGGTAGGTGCCCTTACAGGGTACATCCCACAAAGCTGGGCAGCTCAGGTTGTGGCAGCTGCTTCTGGGGGTACAGCAGACAGTAGAAACTAAGGCCTTAGGGCTATTCTGTGTGGCTGAGCTTGTGTGCACATACTGTTCTTATTAAAAGAGAGCTCACATCAAAACCAGGACAACCCCTGGGCTTGAGCTTGCATATTGTTCTATGGTCAGTGTGCTCTAACTTTGGACCTTTTTGTTGCTGGCCTAGCACTCACAAGGGTTGTGGTGGAAGTTGGCTCCCTTGAGGACCAGGTGAGGGTGGGCCCTTTTACCACCTGGTCATCCCTAGAACCTGGTGGGAGGGTGGGAGGGGTCTGGTACAGACTGCCAGCTTCTGCCTCTTTCAGATCCAAAAGCCTTCAACTTATTTTTCTATTTGTTTCCTGCGCAGCTGCCAGAATTGATGAGGTAACACAGAAGTACAGGATCCTCACCGACAGCCTGCACAAAGGCACAAGATAATATCAGGGCAGAAGGTCCTCCTTGGAGCTGCCAGGAGGAGCAGTTCCTGTCATGTCCGGTGTGGCTCTCTGTTTGCCTGGTGCCTTCAGGGAGAAGGAGGGAAGAAAGGAAGGAGGGAGGGAGGTAGAGAAGGGCAGAGATGGGGAGGACACAGGAGCTGGAAATAAAGCTGAGGCTCTGAGAAGTCGTGTCCTGACTGCTGTTTGTTTGTGCATGTCACATTGGTTCCTTCTGACCTGGGCTGCTCGGCCTTCCTGTCCTCATCCCCTTATGCTCCAATGGTCTTGCCTCTCCCCCTGCTGCTTCCACTGCTTTCTGACACTTCCTGCTTACACTTGATCATGCCCGGCCCTGGAGGTCTCCACTGTACCCAACATGCCCTTCTCCCTGCCTATGTGACCTTCACCTCCTGTCCTGCCTCGGTCCTGGTCCCACAGAGGCCCTCCTTGCCATGTCCTTGGGAGGTGGCCTAGCTCCTCCTTTCCCAGTGTGCTGGCACTCACTGGGAAATTCTCAACGTAGCCTGACTGCTTGTCCAGGAAACTGCTCTCTGGGCTTCCCAGGGTGACTCAGTATCTTCCTGAGTAGTTTGCCTGTCACAGCCACCTCCTTCCCTTCAAGCACCGGAACAGGCACAATCAGTGGGGCCCATGATCACACCTGCGACTGCCCACCCCACCCTACACCTGCACCTTTGCTCCCCCAGACTCCCCTGAGTGTTTTGGGCAGATGGGTACCAGGCCTTTCCTGCTCAGCTGCCATGGGAGATGTCGGTGGGCAGGCAGGTTCATGTTCTCCACTGTCCAGCTGAACCAACTGCTTTACGGGCTAACAGACTGAGGATGGCCTGCAGTGGGCAAGCCCGACATTGACCACCACCTCTGGAGGCCAGGCCTGTGGTGCCATATGTATGGCTCTGGAACCAGATCTTCAGGAAACCATGGGCTACCAGACTGCAGATGGCCCTTCTAACTGCATCTTGATGGTGTCCCTCACCTGGAGTCAGGTGAGGCAGGAAAGTCCTCAGAGCCTATAGCCTGAGAGGTCTCCTAGTTATCTGTTTCTGGAACAGTAGGTATTGGCTCAGCCGTAGCCATAGAGCTGTCTAGGTCAGGCAGGCCTCACCGCCTCACTGGTTTGCAGCCCCCTTTTACCTGCCTGTCCTCCCTGCCTTCTCAGCTCTGCTGAATAAGTATTTGGTATATATCAGGTGTCAGACCCCTGGATGTCACACCCATGGAGCAGATACCATCATTGCCACTTGCTGCTGGAAGATGAGCCCACAAGGTGGGTGAGCCACAGCCAGACAGTGTTCATGCTGAGCATAGCTTGAGGCCACCCCTGGTCACAGGAGCAAGGCTAAGGCTCTCTTCTCAGCATCCCTTCCCATTCACAGGCTGAGCATCACACCAATGGATGCCCCTGTCACTCCTTAGGTCATGTGAGCCTCATGAGGGGCAGCCTGTTGCCTTTGTGTGATGCATCCCAGCATAGGGCTAGGCTTCACACCTGGGTTAGCCAGGCCTGGTCCCAGCCCAGTCCCCATGAGACTTAGAGGTAGGGCTGGGAGATGGGCATGACTTCCGCCTGCCTGTGAGGACATGTTCCTCCAGCCCATGACAGAGCTCATCACTCATTAGAAGCCTGCATGTGGCCAGAGCCTGCTTCCCAGTCTGTAAACACGGGGCGTGTGTCCTGGTGGCTGTGAGCTCACGAGAGGGGGCGGCAAACAAGCCGGCTGCACAGGTCTTGCGGCCTCAGGCCTCCATGGTTGCCCAACAGGCGGCTGGGGGCGGGCCATGGCCACTGATTAAAGGCTGCCTGGAGCAGCCTGTGCGGAGACAGGTGCCCAGCAGCCCAGGAAGCCGGCCAGAGCCCACCCCAGGTAAGCCAGCGCAGTGGGGTTGGTGTGGACAGTGCCACGAGTCTGGAGGCAGGCAGAGGGCCAGCTTGAGGCAGCACTAGTTTACCAGGGAGAAGATTGGGGAGGCTGGGGCCCCCATGACAGATCTCTCTGGTGCCTACTTGCTGCTTCCTGGTAGCCCATAGGTGGAGAGCAGGGCACAATGCCTGAGGCTCCCAGTCAAAGTGTCTCCACAAAGAGGCTGGGCCAAGGTGCCGTTTGTGGTTTGTATCTGCCTCCCTGTTTCTTCGATGAGGACGGTGGCTAGATCTGGGCCTGGTCGCAAAAATGAGAGCACCGCAGGCCTTTCTTTTGTCCGTTGTTAGGCAGGACAGAGACCTGGGGACAGGAAGGAGGGGCATGAATATGAGGCCTCATCCTAAACAGCAGTAACACATCCTGGCCACTGCTTTCTAGCCATGTGAAGTCCCCTTTGAAGTGCCCTTGGATATGGACCTCAGAAACTACTCCTAGAGCCAATGGCCTCATGATATGAGATGGAGAGGCAAAAAGTAAGGCCCAGAGTGGTAGAGCTTTGACTTGAGATAGCTGTGGGCAGCAGGGCCCAGGCATTTGCTCCCATTTCTTTAGTCCTCTGACTTATGCCACTTGCTCTGCCAGCTTTTGGCCTCGCTGTTCCTGTGAAAACATCAGCATGTCAGAGCCACCCCGGGCTGAGACCTTTGTCTTTCTGGACCTGGAAGCCACTGGGCTCCCCAACGTGGATCCTGAGATTGCAGAGATATCGCTCTTTGCTGTCCACCGCTCTTCCTTGGAGAATCCAGAGCGTGATGATTCTGGTGCCCTGGTGCTGCCCCGTGTCCTGGACAAGCTCACGCTGTGCATGTGCCCAGAGCGCCCCTTCACTGCCAAGGCCAGTGAAATTACTGGTCTGAGCAGCGAAGGACTGGCACAGTGCCGGAAGGCTGGTTTCAACGGTGCCGTGGTGCGGACACTGCAGGCCTTCCTGAGCCGCCAGGAGGGCCCCATCTGCCTTGTGGCCCACAATGGCTTTGATTATGACTTCCCTCTGCTGTGCACAGAGCTACAGCGCCTGGGTGCCCACTTGCCTCGGGACACTGTCTGCCTAGACACGCTGCCAGCACTACGGGGCCTGGACCATGCTCACAGCCATGGCACCAGGGCTCAAGGCCGCAAGAGCTATAGCCTGGCCAGCCTCTTCCACCGCTATTTCCAGGCTGAGCCCAGCGCTGCCCACTCAGCAGAAGGTGATGTGCACACGCTGCTCCTGATTTTCCTGCACCGCGCTGCAGAGCTGCTCACCTGGGCAGATGAGCAGGCCCGCAGCTGGGCCCACATCGAGCCCATGTATGTGCCACGTGATGGCCCTAGCTTCGAGGCCTGAGTGGCAGCATCATTCACTCAGCAAGGGTCTGAAGCCACATTCTGGCTCTCTGCAGCACCTGCCTGGCCTTCCCCAGTCCTAGCTTACCTGGCCACAAAGCCCTAGAGCCTTCTCCGTGCCCCACCTCCAGGTTGGGTGCCATCTGTCCAACCCATGGGCTCCTGTAGGTTGCTGCTTCAGGGATTCCATCTTTTCATCTGTTTCTCAATAAATATCACCAGCTGTCTTATTGGCCAGACTCCCTGCTCATGCCCAAAAAGATCCCACCAAGACACAGGTGAGGACCATGCCTGCTGCAGCAGAGCCCCCAGAGTTGCCTCATTGTGGCTTGACCCTCTGATGTACCCCCCTTGGGTGCACCGTGGGGAAAGTACTGGCAAGAAGGATGCTCCAAGGGGCTGATGGATTGGTGCTCTGGACCCTGAGTCCCTGACCACCTCCAAAGTAGGTCTCACCGTCCCCTTGAGTGTTGCTCCTCTCTGAATAGGGGCTTAGGATGAGCATGCTGAATCTTCCTGGGGGTAGGGGTACTAGAGGGGGGTATCTGAGCCTGTAGAGCTGGTCCCTGCTTTGTTCAAGGCTCAGCTCCAGCCCTTAGCCTTGCCCGCCCTCTGTCCTCACTCTGCAAAGTGGCAACAAGGAACTGATATGATGTAGGGCACTGGGGAAAGACATGCCCCTACTGATTTGTGGGCATGGTACATGGATGCTCCAGGCAGACTAGGTCGCCAAGCTGACTTGAGGCTTAGAAGAGAGATGGAGTGAGTGGCACTTGAAGGGCCACCCAGAATAGAAATCATCCTAGGTCCTAGATTCCTCATGGAGTGGCCCTGGGAGGGCAACTTCTCACCAGCTGCCTCAGCTGGGCTTCAGGTTTTTGGTTGACTTGCCTGTGGGGCCCCACCCCGAGGCACTCCTGTCTTGTGGGGAGGTGGGCCAGTAGAGAGCTGTGTCACTAAATGCTGGGACAGGTAGGAAGAGGTGGGGCAACCACACCCCAGAGTGACTTGCATGAGCAAAGAGTCCAGCCTTGAGCTAGCTTGGCCCGTTTGGGGAACCTTAAGTAGGTCAAAATGACTAGAGCTGCTGCAATATGTACAGTGGCATGATGGTGAGGCCAGAACACTGGCATCAGTGGCATCAGAACATTCCTATGGCCTGGGCCTGGACTGAGCCAGAAAGCACCAGAGGTCACAGAAGTTATGTGTAGAAGAGAGACAAAATCTGATTTGTATGTTAGTTGTAGCTCCTAGACTGCTATGTGGAAAATGGACTATAGTGTGGGTCTATAGGGGGAAGGTGGCAGCTGCAGGGCAGAGAAGCAGAGGGGGTTAATACTCTCCTGGAAGGGAGGTACCAGCCTGGCTGAGATAGGATGGTAGGGGTGGGGCCAGGCCCAGCAAGGGGAAGTCCCACAGAGGTTGCTTTGGGAATGTGGTAGACAACCAGAAGGTCTTGTCATAGGCAAGCTTTTTACAAAATAATCAAGGAAGTGTCACAAAGCTGGGACAGGCTGGGCTGTGCAAGGTTTCACAGGAATTGAAGGAGTCAGAAACATAGGGCTTTTCCAACTTGTGATCCCAGCAGGCTGGATCCCTTTTACCCTCTAGCCAGGCTCAGGAGGGTAGTCTGTACCAGAAGGTGGTGCCCTAAGAACAATGGCCTTGCTACTATGTAGATGATAGGTCAGAAGGGCTCAACTCTATACTCAGCTGCCCAGTCTGTGCCTGATGCCACTTCCTCAAGTGGTCTTGTTTTGTGCCTTCTGTCCCTGAAGCTGGGGTTCTTGTCTCAGGCCTCCAAGTGCCCTTGACCTCATGGTGGCTTGATTTTGGGAGCTGTCCCCAAATTGTTCATGTCCTTTTGGACTGGTGGAGCCAAGCACCTTGCTTCCATGTGGCGCCAACAGGCTGAGACCTGCCTCCAAGCAGTGATGTGCTGATAAACTCATGCCAGCTGTCTTTTCAGGAAAGCAAATGCACTAGTGTGTGTGTGTGTGTGTGTGTGTGTGTGTGTGTGTGTGTGTGTGTCCCACCTATTATGGCCACTAATGGACAAATGTGGCTTCCACATCAATGCTGGCGGATAGCTACCTTTGTCTTAATGAATACCTTGAAAGTGAAGTAACAGAGAACTTTATATGTTCACACTATTCTATTCACAGTGTTGCGGCCACAGAGGTAACAGTCTTGTTTAAGTTCCCCATCACTTCCTCAAGTCAGGGCAATCAACAGACCAATAATAAACGAAGCCCTGCTGTGCCCTGGCCCCCTGACCTCCATGGGATAATTCTTCCACTATCTCTACCACTGTGGCCAGTAGGTGGAGGACAGAGTGGGTACAAGGCTGGACAGGAAGCTAGACAGGGGTCAGGGCCACCCTCTATACCTCCATTACTGCCAGTATCAAGCTACAAATATGTGACTGAAGGGGACCTTGGAAAGAGATTCATGGTGGCACACTACAACATTGATTTCCACTGTGGAGATCTGCTAGATGCACCTCGATATACATTCATAGTAAAATGTGTCCCATTAAAGTAGATTTTGAATGTCTTTTATTTTTAATATAATTTTCTTAATTTTTCATTTATTTTTATTTTATGTGTATGAGTATTTTGCCTACATGTCTGTCATGTAGTGCTGGCAGAAGCCAGAAGAGGGTGTTGGATCCTCTGGAACTGGAGTTATGGATGGTGGTTAGCCACCATGTGGGTGCTGGGAACTGAACCCAGATCTTCTGCAAGATTATATAGTAGAGACTGACCTTGGACTCCTGAACCCCCTGCCTCCACCTCCCAAGTACTGGAATGACAGACAGGTATCACCACAAGTAGCTCATTTACATACTTTTTATCTTATTTTTTGAGTCAGGGTCTCTCTGTAGCCCCAGCAGGCCTGGAACTTGCTATGTAGACCAGGCTGGCTTCAGTCTCACAGAGAACCACCTGCCTCTGCCTCCTGAGTACTGGGCTTAAATGCGTGCACTACCACACCCAACAATTTTTAATTAAAAATTTTTTTTATGTATGAGTGTTTTGCCTGCATGTGTATAAGTACACCACATATGCAGTGCCTGTAGAGGTCAGAAGAGGGCGTCAGATCCCCTAGAACTGGAATTAGCAATGGTTGTTAGATGCCATGTCGGTGCTGGGAACTGAACCCATGTCCTCTGCAGGAATAGCACGTGCCCTTAACTACTGAGACAGCTCTCCAGCTCCTATATAACTTAATTTAAAATATATTTTATTTATTATTATTTTTTTCAGAGCTGAGGACCGAACCCAGGGCCTTGCACTTGCTAGACAAGCATTTTACCATTGAGCTAAATCCCCAACCCGTATTATTTTTATTTTATGTATATGAGTATATTGCCTGCATGTATGTGAGTGCACCGTGTCATGCAATGCCACAGAGGTCAGAAGAGGGCTTTGGATGCCCCTGGAACTGGAGTTAAGGATGGTTCATAGCCGCCATGTGGGTGCTGGGAATTGAACCCAGATTCTCTGCAAAAGCAATCAGTGCTCTTAACTGCTGAGCCATCTCTCTAGCCCCTATAACTTAATTTTTAATAAATGGTAGTATTTAACTATTAATTTCTCAAAATTCCCAAACATTTAACATCTAATTGAATGACTAAAACAAAAAAGATTATCACACATACTGGCAAGATCAGAGGTGATGCAGCATCTATGGAAGCCAGTTGGGTAGTGTGTGAAAGGGTTAACTGACCACCCACCATGTGATCCAAGGTTCCACCTATATGTATTTCCCCATGAGAAAGAGTCATAACACAATGTTCAGGACAGCTCCAGTTCTAAGAGCCCACATCTGGGAAGAAGCACATGTTCTTAGCAGATGACTGACTGTACAATCCATGTTACATCTGCCCAGAGGATGCTGCTCAGCATGAACAGAGTTCGTGGACCAGGACCATCAGGAAGCTAGAAAGATGGCAAGGGCCATCTCTTCATCTCCAATGAGTTTTCATTTGAAATACTGGGGGCTAGGACACCAAAGTATAATTTTTTAGTGGGGGAAGCCCTTATAATAGGCCACAATAATAAATAACTTTGGGGTGTATGCTTGTTTTTGAGACAGGGTCTTACAATGTTGCACAGGCTAGCCTGAAAGTTGCTGTATAAGCTAGGCTGAAACTTGCAATTCTTCTGCCTCAGCGTTCCCAGTAATGACATTACAGGTGTATGTCACATGTATGCTCATAAATAACTTCCAAAAATTTTCCAGATGCTGAAGAATTGTTTCTTCCAGAAACATTAGCTTTTTCGCTCTGTCTCTAATATCTAGTTTGACAACTGCTATGCAATTCTTTTATTTTTGCTTGTTTTTTTTATCTATTACATCTACCTAATTCTATGGTGACACATGAATATATTGTATCATAATTATATTTTATTGAAGTATTCGTTCATGTTGAGTAGTTTTCCGTTATGCATTTAGTTGCTATGTGCTTGTGCTTACGACTTGTGTTAGTCAGGATTCTCATGACGTCTGGGAGCTGTCTCTTCAGCTATGAAAACACTAAAGCACTGGCTCATCTGGCACAGAGGCTGCAAGGCAGGCTGGCAAACCCGTGGCTGAGGGAAATGCTGTAGTTCAAGTCCAAAGGCCATCTGGAGCACTGTTCCTCCTTTCTCAGTGTTTTCTTCTTAAGGCCTTCAACTGATTGGCTGACTCCCATCCACAATAGGGAGAAGGATGTGCTTTATTTAATGTCTACCATTGTAAATGTCAATCTCATATAAAATTATTCTTGCAGCCTCATCTAGACTGCTGTTTGCTGAAAACCTGAGTTCTGTAGCCTGGCCAAGTTGATGCATAAAATTCAGCCTGACAGTGACATTATAGTCTTTGTTCTCTGACTTCGTCTTAGTGCCTAACATCCACAAAGTCAGTCAAGCCTCACGGGGCACCCAGATGTCCTCTCTGTCCTCAGCTACATAGACGGAACCACTCATTTAGCAAGGATGACTGCCCACCTCGCTTCTTCCCAGAGGTCTCTATCTTGCAGCTTTGCATCCAGTAGTGGTTTCCCAACTTGGTTGGAGT